AGCCCCACCTTCCAAAAATTAGATGTATGTATTAGAAGGAAGGATATGTTCAGTCCCTTGTTATAACCAATTGTGTTTATTTCTGTACACGAGAAAGTGTTTATGTCTAACTCCATCTATAGTGTACAAAAATTAACATAACAGATGTGTGTGTGTGTGTGTGTGTGTGTGTGTGTGTATCATGTCAATATTCATACTCCATATAGAGTTAGCTATAAATAATTTCTTCGTAAAAATACGACTTGTATAATAATTGACGCAAACAGAAATATATGATTCAATATATAATGTGTAAATATATGATTCAATTAATCAAATGAAATTTTTGAAGGTGGAACTTGCTACTTGTCTCATCGATAAATTAAAATAAACATAAATAATATATGAAGTAATATCGAGCGAAGATGATCAGGCCGGAAATAAAATTTAGATTTTCCACTTTTCAGACTGAATTTCTTAACCACGTAATTACGTATTACTTAACTTACAAATGGATACTTTATTGTTTACTCACGAATCGTTCTATATTTTATTCCAAGATATGGTACTAGATGTCTCATGCATATCACGTATAGTTATTTACTTCTACGGATGATATATATATTCATGAATATTCATTACATATATTTCTATAGTTTATTAAAAGATCTTATAATCATTTTAGTGTTCCTCTTTGTCTATAACCTTTACAATTATTTCTTCAACATGCTAATAAAAAATAAAATATTAAAAGCATTCTTTTCTTACAAACATATAAATTAGCTGACATTCACTGTATATGAAAAAGTGTTACATTTAACAAAATCTGTTGTACAAAACTGTTTTCATAGATTCAATGAAAAGTATAAGATAATTGTGCAACATAAATGCAGTGCTGATTATTATAAAAAGAATGCTTAGATGAATAATAAATATTGTTCAACATTTGAACAATGACTTTAAAAATGTTAAAAATGTTTTTCAAAAAACTGTTCAAAATTAGAAACTTATGTCAAATTAAAACATTTTCAAACCTACCAAGATAATAAAAAATATTAATTTACATGCAGTTAATAAGAAGATATAGAACATGATTATCCTATAGACATCTATCGCGGCGCGAAACGAGTGTCAATGTCGTTGCCCTCTCTCGCGCTCTCGTCCCGCATGATCGGGATGAACAAATAGATTATAATTGCGGTACCGCAGATTCGGTGAGTTTCACGCCGCGCGCCGGAAGTGCGTGCGTGCGAGGAGCAAGCGTGCACGTATCGTCGACGCGCGAATCGAAAATGCCACGATATTATATTTTCGGTAGCGATGCTGAGAGAGCAGCCTCGCTGAAACGAGACGCCGCGCGCCACGTCGCGCCTTCGCGAGGCGTTTAAATCGTCGCGGACACACCTTTGCGAATGTGTAAAAATGAGAAATACAAAATAAAGGAAGCTCGCTATACATCTCTTTCGTTAACGCGCGCGTTTATTGCAGTTGAACGTACATATTAAGGAAAATCATAAAATTCTGTGAAGAGGAACGTTGAAGTAAATGTGAAAAACATCTTGCGAATTCTTTTCTTGCAAAAATTAATAGCTTTCTTATTATTTTCTCGTTATTTCGCAGAAAATTTTGTTCAATCTTTTCTGCAATAATTGCAAAACACTTAAAAAAATGTATATATAGGTATCCTGCAGCAAGGATAAATATCCTTTAGGAGACGCAGGCGGATCTCCTTGACGAAGAAATCTTATCGGTTTGCTCCGCGTGAAAAATAAATCGGACCATTCGACATATGCAAATAAATTGCTGAAAGCAACACGTCGATCTCCCCATGCCACATGGATACGCCGATGCCACGTATGTCTGAGACGTGTCGGCAGCGTGGAGATAAGGAGGCAGTCGGTCGGGCGGTCCGAGCCTGCCACTTTTATTATCACGATTTTATCGAACACCCGAAGTAGTGGCGTACGCCACTTGAATTTCTCCTCTTTAATAGCCGCAGTCTCTATAAGGAGAGCCTGCGTTTCGTAAAATTATTAAATATGCGCACACAGATTACGGCAACGAGATTCGTGCGTTATTAACGAAGGAATTTTCCGATTAAATTAACATTAAGTGCAGTAGAAGTTCTTCCGCGATTAGATTCCTAAACGTGTGTACGAGTCTAGAATTCTTTTCGGGGGGGGGGGGGGGCAAAGATAGATATCGGTTTGAATCGGAGTAAAAAGATGTTCGATAACACGCGGAAACAGCGGGCGGCGATTATACATTTTAACGTTGATCCTTTCCCCGATCGACGCTCTTGCTCGCTAGACTGCCGTCTTTCCTCGAGATTTTTCAACGCTCGCACACTCGCGCGTTTCTATTTTCACGCCTCGTTTCGTAATATATATATATCTCATCCAAAACAGAGACCTCCCGTACGGGTTTGTCACAGAAACGTTCCGCGTTCTTGCAGCGTGTTTTTAAGCGCGTTTCGAGTATTCTAATCGTGACGAGCGCGCGCAATATCATCCTGAACTTCGCCTGGAAATAACAGTAATTAAAATGATACCGATGATTTCAACATTTATTATTCGACGCGTTAGAAATATCGCGTGATATTTAAGTGATATTAAGTGATTAAAGATTGAAGGCTTCTGACGAATTAATCTGATGAATGGCAGATAAATGACCTTTCTCTTCCTTATCAAGAATAATATGAAGCTTGCGTTACGATCTTCAAAGATTAATTATCAAGATGCTCGGTAGCGAAAGGTAAAATGTCAGGGAGCGTAAAAAAAAACGTCGAAAGAGCGAGGGGGGGGGGGGAAAGGAGAAAAAAGTCATTCTACGACTGTCATGCATACTCATGCATATTATAATCTATTAATAGGCAATATTCCGTGAAATCAGATATTTCGACACGACCTCACGAATTTCAGCGGAGACTGATTCAGCGTAAAGTGGCACGTTAATAAAATGAGATCGCGCGCAAGTTAATAATTATGTAATCGTTATCGCTCCCGCGGTAACAGCTAACAATATCGGAAAGTTTGAAGAAAGGCGATAAGGCTTATTTCGCGCAATCGGGGCTAAGCGCAAGGCCGCGCGCGGTAGAGTTCGCCGGAGCTTTATTCATCGACGGCGCAGTTTATCCCTGCCGAAAAAACGCCGAGGTCAGCACGTGATGCATCTCTAACGATGCAAAACGCCCTATAACGAGCGTTCCGTGACAGGTGCCACGCGTAAAATTAATCGCTTAACAATTTAGCATTCTCGAAGATTCTCGTCATGGGGTCGAACAAGATTCTTACCTACAGTTTTGAACTAAAAGAAAAAATTTACAAAATTTCCTTTGTGTCTATATTTCTCTTTTCTGTATTAATGAATGAACTTTCTTCTGAAAAATTATAATAAATAAAATAAATTTAATTAATACAATTGACAAGTAAAAGATCAATATATAAATTTCAGTTATATAGAATATATGAAAAATATTATTATACATATATATATATATATCTAACAATTTGTCTCTACAATACATATTTCTAAAATTGATTAGACATTAATTAGACAAACTTATCAACAAGGATTGAGACTCCAACTCACCAATTGCACCTTGTTGCTGCTGCTGTTGTGGCTGGTGCTTCTGCTGCTGTTGCTGTTGCTGATGCTGTTGCGGCTGCTGCTGCGGCTGTGGTTGCGACACTCTCCTCTCTCTATCGCTCTGCTTGTCAGCACACGTGGATGCCGCTAGGACGTCGGGCGGTTGCGTCTGCGGTTGTGGCTGTAACTGTGGCTGTGGCTGTGGCTGTGGCTGAGGCTGAGGCTGAAGCTGAGGCTGCGGCTGCAGCGGGGGTACAGTCTTGGCGGTTTGTGGCGCCGGCGTCACTCGGTTTCTCGTCCAGGGGTTCACCGCGGGCAAGGGGGCCTCGACGTACTTGACCGGCGGGTGCGGTTGCTGGGACGCCGCGTGCGCCTCCGCCTCGGCTGCGCCCAGCTCGTCCCTGTGATGATGGGCCTCTCTCGGGCCGTGGTCGAGGACGCCATTGCGGTCGGCGCGCTCTCTGTGCGACCTCTCGTCGCTGCCGCGTCTACCGGCGCCTCCGCCCCCGACGCCACTGGCAGCACCACGTGGTGGCTGATGGCGGTTGTTGTTCTCACGTAACCGGTGACGCTCCCGATGGGAGCTCTCGCGATACTGCTCGCGCATCTTCTCCTTACGCCGGGCGCCCTTTGTGGCGACCGTCTGGAACTCGCCGTCGTTGCCGACGCCGCCGTTGTTCAGCCGCTCGGCGTCGCGCTGGCCGCCGTTCTCGTCCTCGCGCGACGACACCGATCCCGACGCCGACGCCGACGCCGATCCGTGAACGACGTCGACGTGCGCGACCGGCATGCTCGACGGGCTCCCGTGGCGATCGCGCTTCTCCGCGACAGGTTGCGGACACCGGGTGAATCTCTGATAGGACTTACCGCCCTTCACGCCCGGCACTATTCTGTCCTTGGCATTTGTCGCCGTCTGATGCTGATGCTGCTGTTGCTGGTGCTGCTGCGAGTTTTGCTGCAGCTGTTGCTGCTGGAGTTGCTGCTGCGACACTGTCACTTGATCGTCTATGTTCTCCTTGTTGTTGCTCTTGAACGAGCTCGCCCGAGTTTGCGAGGCACCTTTCGGATTCAGCACACTGGCGTAGGACTGGCAGGGCCCCGCCTCCTGCCGCTCGCCGCTCCGAGCGCCACCTTGGCTGGCAAGCTTCGCCGCCATCTTGCGGCGCACGACGTCGTACAAACGGGGGGGACTGGGGATAAAAACACGAGGTTCGCCGAGGGACCCGTGCACGAGGTCGGGCGTACCACGCCGCGCGGTCCACGAATTCTCCTCGATGCCGCTTCTCGCGGAAGCTCCCTCGAGCGACACTCGGCGATCCTCTCGGCTTGGAGGGAACGGGGTAGCGGGCGTTCGCCGACGAGGACCGACTCGCGAACGATTCACGGGACGGGGGGCGAAACTAACCTAGCGCGCGTCCTCGCACCTCACATGCTCTTCTTCGTGCTGAAGAGGGAAATTCCGTCTCGGCAGTCTCGGCGGCGCGGAAAGCGCAACGGGGGTCCGCTTCCGCGACCCGGCACACGTCACCCGAGCGAGGTGGAGGCAGTCTTCCGTTCCCCGACAAGGATGCGCGTGGCGCACGCGGTCCCGCGGACAAAGCAGATGTAACACCTAACACCTACGTGCCGACGCGCAGCACCCACGTCGCCCGGTCGTCGCGACGATCGCCGGTGACGCCGCAACCTCGTGCTCCCCCCGGGTGCGGGTTAGGACGAAGCGTGCGCGCGCTGTGACTCGGCACTTTCGGCGTGAACCACCGCCACCGCCACCGCCACCGTCGCCGCCGCCGCCGCGTCCGCCCGGCCCGGCTTTACGTATCCTCGCGCGCGCGGATGCGGTGCGGTCTGAACGGCGCCGCGGATCACGGATCACGCGGGGTGAGGGGAGGGAGAAAGGGGGGCTACTCACGAGCCCGCGGACGGTCGTCGGAGGGCACCCCGGAACGTGCCACCATACGCGCCTCTCGCGAGGAACTTGCGCGCAACCCCCGCGCAGGTCGAACTCTCGCGTGTATCTCCTCTCGGCGAGGGTAGACTTTTTTTCTCCACTTCTCGGCTCGCGGCCCCGCGTTAACTGCGCGACAGCACTTACCCCGACACCACGATCGCGCCAACTCTTCCCGCACCGTTGCCCGCGTGCCTACCAGTACCGGCGTGGCATCGCGTTACCGCGGATTACGTAAACGCGACGCATTTTCGGCGGAGATCTTTCCACGGGAAAACGATACGCGAGACACATGTGGTCAACGCTGGCGAGGCCTCTGAACACGAGCGGGCCGACCGGCTTCCGGTTTGATCGATCACGCCGTACGGACGCCAGGTGGCGCGCCACGCTTCCGCCGGCGCGTTTTCGAATTTCGAAAACGCGTCGAGCGTGCCCGTCCACGTGGAAAAGAGTTGACCACGCCGAACGCCGCCGGGCCAATCGTGTCCCTCGCTTTTCCGGAAAAACGGAAATTGGAGAGCGGAAGCTTTTTTTTTTTTTTTTGAAGAACTTTCTCGAGCGCTCGACGACAACTCCATTTCGTAAATCGTCTTTTTTGGCTGCGTTCGGGGAGCGCGCTATTTGCTTATTCTATCTTTGTTCTACACTTGAGGAGCGATAAAGATAAAATGATGCAATAGCGATAATAGCGCGCTCCCCGAATGCAGCCTTTGTAGCGCGAAATTTAAAAAGGATAATACAATTAATTCTACTGTTACTTTGTACGTATTTTAAGAACATTACTACATACATACATACACATGTAATTTATTATTGCATATACAATTACATAACATACAAAATATATTGAGTATATAGTATCTTTCAATATTAGTATCTTTTAACTATACAATGTTAATATAAAGATTGAGTTTCGGTAATTTACAAACAGCAACAGAAAAATGTAGTTCGTTGAAAATCTATATAATTGTGTAGATTTGTGTATATATTTACATATAGATGTGCAGAGTGTCCAATTTTAATTCGAATGGACTTAAGTTATTTGGTTTTGAGAAAATTTACCATGAAATGGTGATTTTAGGTCTTTTGATCTTCAAGGTGCTATATAGTTCACTTCTCTTAAAATAAAACCATATAAATTTTTTCATAGTCTATAATTTTCCTTGATATTATACATGTAAAAATATCCTAAGAAATTGTAAAAAATATCGTTTTACTTAAATAAAAAAAAAGTGGCTAATAGTCAAGTTCAAAATCACCTCTTTATGTCTTCCTGAAAACTGAGCAATTTGTTTGATCATTTTTCCGTTTTTACGAGTCATTTGATTTCTTGAATTAAAATGGAATACTCCGAACGCGTGTACATGCGTGTCAAGACTATTGTGTCTATTGTGTCACATGTATATTATTGTTTTAAAGTAGGAACAATTTTTTTATTGGCAACTAACTCATTCTATGTACTAATGACATCAATTATTATTATACTCGATTAAATTGACTTGAACAATCGTACTCTTTTGTAGCTGATAGTTTAAAAATTCAAAAATATTGATTTAAAAATAGATTACGTTTGCGCACAACCGTGATCCTTAAGCGTAGAACGATGTAGTCGATCACAAACTCGGAGAAAATATTCCCGTTATCTAATCAAATTTAGGACAATCCTGAGATAATGTACAATTGTAGTACAATTTGCAATCATCAACTGACCTCCACAGGATACTTCTTCAGAGATCGTTGGATACATTCCGCTATTGTGGATCTGAAATAGAATATACGTGCCCGTGAAATTTTTCTATATTGAGAGAAAGAGGCGAAAGCATAGAAAATTGTAATAAATTTTGCAATACCTGAAGACTTTCTGGTGAAGAAGATACGCGCTGACATGTCCAGCGTCGATGTAACGAACCTCAACTCCCGGCCAGATAGTTTCCAGACTCATGCAACTATCTCGCGGTACGTAAGCGTCATCCTTGGCACAGACGGCGATGATCAATTCAGTGTCAACCGGTACCTCGAAATTTTTCAAATGCGTACACTCATCCATTATGCCGCGCATAAATTGCAACGCTTCGTGCTCGCGCCATTTGTTGTCTGAAAACAGCGGATGCTTCGGTACTGGTAACAAGCACACCCCTGTTGCAGGAAAGACAAAAATCGGATAAAAACCATGCTTACATGCTGCCTAGGATCATCAAACGCAAGGGGCTAACGGATAACAAACACATCTGAATAAACATTTGAACTCGTTTAATTTCATCACAAGGAAATGAGACCTGAGATGTATATACGTTTGACGTTTTCCTTTCACAAACTACGTTAAGATAATGAATCGTATAGACACAAGTTAATTACACAAGACTGATATCTACCTTTGAGAGCATTGGGATCCTTAGATTTAAATCTGTTGGAAATCAGATTTAAGGGAAATATTTTGGCTGCCGCCTTCTCTTCTGCAATCTGATGGTGTAATTGATTGCTATTATTTTTGGACTCGTTCTCGGTGGTAACATTAATGTCACTACGATTATTGATAGAATTTGTACTAATTGCATCACCCGTGGTATTATTGTCTCCGTTATTTTCGTTAGACTCCTTTCTTAACTTATCTACTCTCTTCAAGCTCGCGGGAAAATGCTTCGCGAAATGTTGGCCGGCTAAAAAAGCATCCTGAAAGTATATTCGATGAGAAATAAAGGTTTGAGAGACAATCTATTAACAGAATTACAAAAATCGTACTTACATCGTGATCGATAATTTTCACCATTTTTGCGAGATCATCTTGATATACTTTGTCCGAAAAATATTGCATTTCCAAAAGTGCCCAATTGATCGAAGCGCTCATTACTCCTTCTGTAAATACAGGTGAGGCAGTTGACCATGACAGACAAGGTACTAATGAGATTGGCTTCGGCCAATTGGTAGCTGCTAACGATGCCATCTGAAAAGAACAAGATATTTAGATGCACATAACGCGACAAGCTTACTTCTATTTTAGAGTTCTTGTGTTTTTTTTTTTTTAAACTAACATGTCCACCCATCGACAATCCAGTGAGAGCCAACGGACTAAATCCATGTCGTTCGCACCAATTTAACAAAACGATCGATTCCATTATCAGGCAGCCTCCCATAATAAAAATGTCGCACACGTTGTGCAAACTGGAACGTCTAAAAACGGCAAGGAGGGAAGAGTGCGGTAAAGAAAAACTAATCTTAGCCGATTACGTAACTCTGTACTCTACAAACCTTCCAATTAAGAGTTCTTACATTTGATCATCTGGCTTTCTCAGTCCGTAAAACGGATTCTCCAACAGTATCGATGCTATCCCAGATTCCTTGAGTAGCGGTTTAGCGATAAGATTTCTACGTCGCCAAAAAAACTAGTTAATAAGTAAAATATAAGTAAATATCTTGGTAGGCATAGAGATATCGTATACTTTGAAAGGCGATTAATGGTACGATGAAAAAAAAGTAAGCAGTAACGCTACATACGTGATCGCCCGTTCCCGCAAGATGTAAACAAATCGGTTTTATCTTATGGGAACTCCATTTAGGTGGTAGGACCATCTGAAAGTAAGCCGTCTTGGTCTTATCTGGCATTATTCCAGGGAGATGCTTCTCGAAAGGCGACTCAAATTGACCTTCAATTATATGACAGTCTGACCAAATTTCATCCTAAGGAGAAACACACATATTATTTCTGATAACGGTAGAGATAACTACATTATCAGAAAAGTATGAAATACCTTTGTTATCTCTATCGGGTAATCGAGTGGTATCATATTGTAGCATGCTTCCCGATTTGCCATAACTTTCCTGAATTCAAAGATTCTGAAACAATATTATTTAGATATTTAGATACTACATATTGGGATTTAGATGGTTAGAGATACTATAAACATAAATGTCCGATATTAAACGAGAAAAGTATTACTACAAAACATAACTTTATAAAGTAAGAAATTTTGAGTGAAAAGTATCTACATTGGGTTAAAAATGAATTGGAGGCATAAACATCTGCTCCAAATTACATCTACCTAAGTTAATTTATTATCTTTCAGAACAAAGTCTCTATCTATAGATTAACTTTAATCTCGGTTTAACTTAATTTTTAACCTTTTTTCTAGAATTAGAAAAAATAAAATGTGAGTTAAACCGAGATTAAAGTTGATCTACATTGGTAGAAATGGACATAAATAGCGCTGAGTCACACCACCCATCTATTATTGTTCGACAAGTGATTTATAGATAGGTATACCTACGCAAAGATAACAAGTGGAAATCTACCCGCGGTCAATCAGGGGCGTGAAGTGATCAGCAAGTGACGTCGGGCGCGCTCAGGTTAAGACCAGGTTAGCCACACTCACCTTCGCAGATTTTGCGGATTGCCCCAGCCCTTGGTGAAGAACTTGGTGAGCAGGATGCTCCGGTAGACCGCGTCCAGACGGCTCGGCGGCATCGCGACGAAGCGTCTTCGGGTGTCGGGTGCCCCGCTCTCTCGCTCTTTACCACCGCGTCGTCGTCGCGCGCGACCCGGAGCTCTCGCGCATCTCACACGCGAAAAATTTCGCGCGTCTACGTGTCCATATCCTCCTCGTCCTCCGAAGTTCCGCGAAGGCTCGAACTCGAGCCCTTGTTTACTTGCGGCCGCGAGGAAAAGGACGTGACCTCGCCTTCACGCCACAGAGATCATTGGTCATCATTGACGACATTGACGTGCGCACAGCGCACGGCGCGCGCATTTCGCCGCCGTGCGTGTATAGATACATATTGCGCGCGGAGGGACCAATCGAGGAGCGAATCAAGCGAATGTGAGCGAATGGACGATCGGACGATAAGCGCGATTCAGCGGCGCGAAATGCGCGAATGAACGCTCGGCCGCTCCGCGACGCATCCTCGCCAAGCTAAGTATGAATTATTTTACTTCGCGTTACGAAGAGAACGACCTTCATCGAGCTGCGATTAACATGATGAGCGATCAATTACCTCAATTACAAGCGAGCAGAATCGCTTGAAGCAAGGGTTCTCAACCTACGGCCCCTCCCGTGAAATTCTATTATGTCCGCCGGGAAATTTAGGTTAGGGAGTTACAATTATAAATGAATTTATAAATGAAGATATTTTGTGATTTAGATTTTCAGAAATAAAACATCCGGCTTCTCTGGTGTCATTACAAATTTTAATATATTTATATACATATTATAATAATTAAATATATATATATTATATATTAAATATATATTTATATATATCTGTCTAACGATGAGAGGCATCTGTCCTTGTTTCGATTGCTGCAACCATCTCTCGCTACTCGCAACACTGCTTATCTTATCTAGAGTTCCTAAGGAATTCTAATCTTATCAACCTGAATGTGCTTTTTTACATATAAAAGTTTATTTAAACTAATCTTTTTTTGGTCTGACTTTTGGGCGCAGAAAGCGACACGGCGAGGCGACGCATATTGTTTTGTTTCCACCTTGCCGTATTTATCGGGATGTACAAAAGTAATACAGTGAAAAACGTATTTAATAATTTAATAATAATTGTATACACTTTCAGAAGGAATTTATTAACTCTTTGTCTTGCGATTTATATATAGCACAAGATATACTTTTGTCAAAATGTGCAACATACTGGCCTGTCAATTTGAATAGGTCTACATTTTTTTTATTACGACAATAAGAATATTACAAAAATATTATTTCTTAATATTTGATTTCTAATTTTATCCACCCGTGCATTTCGTTATGTTTATATATTAACTATAAAATATGTAAACTATATATATATAATATTTGCGTTTATATATATATATATATTATATATTTTTTATATATATCTGGGAAATATACAAAATATGAGGAAAATTAATTAATTAGATTATTTTTACAAAATAAACTAATATATACCTAAGAAAAACTTTACTATTTTACTATTAAAGAGTGACAGAAAAATCCGGCGTTGTCTTCTTAGATCGCATGTGAAGTTGCGCTTCTTTTTCCGAGCTACAGTTCGCCATTTGATTCAATAGGCTCAGTAACACCTTATTAAACAATGATCTTACGCCCGAAAGCTTCAAAACATGACGCAGCACAAATCTGGAATGACGCAAGTACAGCAGTTTTTAATTAAACTGGTTTTTATGCTGAATAACTTGCGTGTCGTGATGATTAATAACAGCTATACTTACTTCCAAAGCTTATAACTGATCCAGTCTAAATAACTGAGAGACGCGTGTAAACGCGGCATGTTTATGCCAAATACATCCGTGATAAGTAATATCGCGGACCTGTAAGACATATACATAAAGGGGAAATAATTAAACGGCTCGATGACGCATCTCGTCATGTGTTCCCATTCGGGTGTCACTTCCTTCAAATTAGGTATCGTCCAATATTGATAGAAATCCTGCAAACGTTGTTTTATCTCCTTCAAGCTCCCACGGCAAAAGTTGTATCTGACAAGCAAATGAAGCTAATTAGTGACACATAAAAATTAAAAATACTTCCTGGATACACGTGCTTTATTTTCCATCGGGGATGGAAAATCCAAAAGGAGTTTCGGCACGTACTTCTCTTCCATTCCGAGATAATATCCGTAACATCTCCAGATGTGGCAAAAGGCCTCCATATCCTCGTCGGTTACATCGTGCGCTCCGAAGTCTTGCGGATAAATTAAAACGAAGCCTATGAAGCAGCATTGAATCATCGCCATGTCGGCGTTGTTTATATATTTGCGCTTGAATGGCAAATCGACGAACATCTTGTAAGGACGTTGCCCGATCCTCTCGAACGGACACCCCTCGGCGAAATCTTTCAAAAGCAATTCACGATCCGGGCACCATGGATTCGCGAATTTGGACGCGTCGTCGATTTTATGATCGTCAAACTGAGATAGCTTTGCTCTCATTCTCACGTGCATTTTGCGTACAACTTCCATGTCTTTGAACGCGAGTGTTCCCTTGACCCACGGTTCCCCGGCGAACCAATTCATCATCCGGCGCATGGTCGACAAGTATCTTCGAAATTAATGAGAATTGAATAAAATTAATGATAGATCCAGATTCGAAAAATTAAGAACAAAGGCGATAAAAGGGGAGAAGTAGATAATGTTTGCGAAAGAAAATAAAAGCAACGGTTACAAAACGATATTTCAGAAATAAGAGATATAATCATCTATTGACGAACTAGTAGATAACAGCAAATAGATGGCAATTGTATAATTTTGCGACTATTTGCAACGACTTTCGAACACTCTATCTCATAAGAAACAGCGATAGAATGACCATATATACCTTTTGAATCCCAAAAACGGCGTGTGAGCGCGGTCATGGAGGATAATTGGATTTAGATTACTTTCGAAGGAAAAAGCGGGCAAGAGCGCCAACACCATGGCTATGGTAATTCCGCCGAAGTAATCCTGCACGAATTTCTGCCCCCTGCGGTACTTATCCATGTCGAGCCATTCGGGTTTCTCCACCGGCGATCGACCGCAGTCCCCATGACAGAAGGAAGCCGGGATGAATTCCAATAAGGATTCCGGCACGTTCGGATAGAATTTGGAGAGATTCTTATTTATCCAGCTATATTTTTCGCTCACTGTCCACTCGTCGAAGTCACTCGGAAAGTAGCTCCGGTCGAATGTATTCTGCAACAGCTTCACGTACTCGTCTTCATCCGAATTTCCGTTTGACCGTACTTCCGTCACGTCATTCAAAGTGCACTCGCGATCTTCGTCGTCCTTTTTAAGCGCATCGTTTCTGCCCGTCATCTTTACGCCGCCAACTCTCGGCACGTAATGATATAGTGATAGCACGCGAGAAACTGTGTGCTTTTCGTATAGCGACTCAAGGGGGGAAACCACAGTGACGGCCGGAAAAAAATGCTATTTTCATGAATTTTTTTTCGCAAAAAATAATAATAATTTAATCAAATTGGTTTGTCATTTCTTTAAAGTACATAATTAAATATATTGTAAAAAAAAATATTAATATTTGCGCCTTCAGCGTGTGGTGCCGTATACCTCCGCAAAAAAAGCTGGGCGCTCGCATATCTCGGTCAATTTTTATCTGAATGACTTGAAATTTAAACAGAATGTTTATAAAAAAATTGTCATTCAGTTAAAAAACGCAAATGCTATTAAATTAAGGGGTGCACTTCTGAGATATTAGTAAGTTGTTCGTACCACTGTTGTATTTGATAATATACTCTTTTTCCATGTAATCTTACGGCATCAGCAGTTGGAAGCAGACACGATGGCGTGGACGTCGACTTTTTAGACTGTTTCGCAAAGCATATGAAGCGACACTTAGCTAAACAGTGTCGTTAGTTTTGGCTTCGTATAAAATAGCAATAATTTTTTCAGATGCTGTACCTATTGCTTCTTCACAAGCATTTTTAACTAAAAAAAACTGTTATGTCTTCTCGCAAATAAATAATATTTTTTAATATAAATTTCACAAATTTTGTTTTTTCCACATTATAGAAAGAAGAAGTGGTATCGGATCCACTGAGGGCATAAATAAAGCCGATAAAATCCTGATATTCGGGATAACGTAAAAAATATTATCAAATATCAGAATGAAAAAATTGCTTAGACTGCTAGAAAAAAAGTTGTACGCAAAAATGTGAAAAAAATCTTTTTTCCCAAATTTTCGCTATTTTTTAATTCCGTTTTAATCTTATTTCTTGAGTTTCCGATATCGTAAAAAGTAAAAAAATTTTTTATGGACGTATTCGATGAAAAATTTTATTTCGTACAAAAAAGTTTTCTTGTATTTTTTCGTATTTTGCGTCGTTTTCTAGATATTCCAAAGACAATGGAAAACGATATTTTTTGTTAATATCTCAGAAGTGCACTTCTTAATTTAATAGCATTTTTGTTTTTTAACTTGATTTAGTGACGAATAATCGTATGAATTGATAAAAATTCATTAAAGAAATAGTTCCGAATGAGCGTCGTTTTTTAGCTTCAAGCAATAGCCTAATAGCACACGATTGACAAGGAGACTGTTGCGTGTACTCGTGTATTAAGATTTGTACGTGTAAATGTGCATCCACTGTAATTGCATAACAATGCTACATGGATACCCCACTCTATCTCTATTTATCTTCTCATCTTCTTCATACCACGAGACAATCTTTTTTTCAATAAAAATATTATTTTCCGCTCGTTTGAAGCAAAGTCTTTAATGAGGAATAGGACCAATATACGAGCATTAATCGATGTTACAACAAATTTAAATTATATCCAGATTTATTGAATTATTTACGTTTCGTACCGTACTCGGACTTCATCAGAATTGTCAATTAAGCGAATAATTAATTACTAACATATATAGGGGTCAAAACGCAATTAATTAAACATGGAAACGTACCGCAATCACAAAGTCAAAAACTTAATATTATAGAACGCTTTCTTCTCAAGTCAGTCATGCTCCAATTAAATTTCCGTTTTATTGAGTACCTATATCGTCGTCCTGTGGAGACCCATGCAAGTCCACAATTTTGAATGGTACCATACATGTCTGGACCATCTTACTGGCAACTGGATAAATAAGATGATTTAGTATCGACTCAATAACATTATAAACCGAGACTTACATAAGTGTTCAGAGATGACGAGAGAGACGACCAGTATAATTGCCTGGCATGGTTCTCGTCATCTCTGAACACTTATGTAAGTCTCGGTTTATAATGTTATTGAGTCGATACTAAATCATCTTATTTATCCAGTTGCCACTAAGATGGTCCAGAAATGTATGGTACCTTTCAAAATTGTGGACTTGCATGGGTCTCCACGGGACGACGATATAGGTACTCAATAAAACGGAAATTTAATTGGCTCATGACTGACTTGAGAAGAAAGCGTTCTATAATGTTAAGTTTTTGACTTTGTGATTGCGATACGTTTCCATGTTTAATTAATTGCGTTTTGACCCCTATATATGTTAGTGATTAATTATTCGCTTAATTGACAATTCTGATAAAGTCCGAGTACGATACGAAACGTAAATAATTCAATAAATCTGGATATAATTTAAATTTGTTACAACATCGATTAATGCTCGTATATTGGTCCTATTCCTCATTATAATCTTTTTTTATTTGTTTTAATAACGTTTAATGCATTACATATTTGTAAATATAAATTTTGTTTCACAGTCAACTGAGAACACCGCTGAAATATTAGCTGGAATATATAATAACTGAAGTGAATAAGATCACCTTTTTTTGCTATTTGCAATAAAGATACAAAAATACGACATAAAAGATTATGATTGTTTTGACGGAATTGTTTATTGCGAATTTGTTGCTACTTTTTCTTATATTACATAAATACATATCGCCTGTTTTTATTTTTTTACCTTATCTAAGGCTTGTCACAAACCAAATATCAAAACTGCATACGCAGAACATAACACTGTCTAGATAAATGAGCATTTAATATAAAGCATGTTATGTATAAATCAATGGCTGGATGCTAATTGATCTGGACAGTATTATGTTCTGCATATGCAGCTGTACGTGTACGTAAAGATAGCTATTTAAATTCAAAGATACTTTTGAAAGAGCCTTACTCTTTTATGATAACGGTTTAAAATTTGAGTTTGAATTGTTCAGAAAATTCTGCGCATTTTTCTTCATTACTAATGACTTCATTAATATTTATACATTCAGATGAATAAACGCATTTGGTATTGCGAGCGACTTTATCAAACGCAATACCAAATGCGCTTATTCATCGAAATGTATAAATATTAATGAAGTCGTTAGTAATGAACAGAAATGCGCAGAATTTTCTGAACAATTCAAACTCGAATCTCAAACCGTTATCATAAAAGAGTAAGGCTCTTTCAAAAGTATCTTTGAATTTGAATAGCTATCTTTACGTACACGTACATCTTAAACTTAAACAGCTTGAAAGAACTGTAACCTTTTACAACAGTTTAAGATTCGAGTTTAATTAATTATTTGAATCGGTCGGAAAATCCCGCTTCTTTTTATTACTATTGATTCCATTAGTAATTATATACTTATCTCATTATCAGTGGTGTTATTATACATATAACAAATTTATGCATTGTTATTTATATATATATCTAGACGAATAATATTGGTATTACGTGTTTGATGACTTATTATTGCATCTTTCAGAACAAGCTAACGAAAATAAGGAGATGAGAGAGAGAGAGAGAGAGAGAGAGAGAATAGTTTTAAATGAGAGCAATTTGATGTTAATAGATAAGTGCTCTAAAATATGACTTGATGCGGCGCACGCTGTACGTTTACAATATTTTATTATTTCTTTACAGATTTCATATAATAACTGTGCATAATAACTAAATATCGCTATTTAGAATGCAATTGATTTAATAAGAAGAAATTTGCGAAGTAATATCTCTGAAGCAAAGTTGAAGATAAATTGAAGAGCACGTAAATAATGACCCAACTTGCGTAAAATATCTTATCTGTAAAGAAAATGCGTATATTGCGTATAAATTGATTGCTTTTATTAAGATATTTAATCGGATCAAAAGTTCACAAATATCTTAAAACGTAAGTAATAAGTCTTTAAAATATTGAAGTAAGTCTGAATCTACTTTTAATTTACTTTTTTTTATTTACGGCCGCTGGTCCAGAAAGATATCAGTAAAAGAACGTTTTATTATTAAATAAATTGTATTCCAAATACCGCGATATTTAAATATCATGATTGCTATAAAATATTTCAAGAAAGAATATATCAAACTGATCATTTATATTTATTGATTGAAAAAATATATATATATGTACACATATATATGAAAGTTTATATTATATGGCGCTATTTCGTACTCTAGCGTGTCGGAAATCTTTTTTAATCTTTCGTAATACGATCTAATAACAGACCTTTAATATTATGTATACTTAATATCTACTATTGTCCGTTAATGCCTATTAATTCTCATTAATGTTTATTAATATTGACTTTATTAATGCCCAAGTGATGCAAAGCTTCATGCTCCATTATATAAATGCTATCGACCCTTGTCTAAAGCCTTTTCAGATCTGTTCTTGAGTAACTTGTGTTTTTCCGGTCCATATTCGACTGCTTTATCGAGGACCTTACAAACTTTCTTGTTTATATACTCTCGTACGAATCGTAATTTCATGGCATAGCGAAACATGAAGCTGAAATTATAGAAAGAAATGATTATAATTATTAAAACTGGGTGTAAATAAGATGAGTAATATTAAATATACAATAAAATTTCTTATTCACACTTTAATTCTTTACGGTTATTCTATATCCTATAAATTGGACTTGATATAATGCATTGCGCGATCGCCTATTGCATAATTTTTCAAACATTTGAACCTTGATGCATGTTAGATCAGTCAATTAAATAAAATTTCGGAAATATTTTATCTTTGATTATTTACACTTACAAGAAACAGTTCTTGAAACGTAAAGTTTGTTTGGACAATGATATAATCAGTTTCTCAACTTTCAGTAGATTACCGAGGATACTTGTGCATTCGTCTGTTTATCTCAATCTGGCTTGCGATACTCACCGTTGAATGGTAAGAGAAAATCGTTCGAAATAAGTAAGCGTATGTCGTACGCGCGGCATATCAATGTTCAATAAATTGGTGACGAACAGTAGTAACGTCTCGAATGTGAAACGACTAATATAATAACGTTCACCTTCCGCAACGCATCTCAACATGTGTTCCCATTCGGGCGTTACTTGCCGCAAGTAGGGTCTCACCCAAACATCGACGAAGTCGCGCGATCTTTGCTTTATTTCCTGCAGATTGCCGCGGCAGAAATTATATCTAAAACATTTATTTTGTCATTAAATTTAAGAATTCCAATGTGACGATAACAAAGTAAGGAAAACACTCGAGTGATGAAAAAGTTTGTCATACGTACAGAACGTATGAATGAAAATCAAGACGGAAGTGAAATTATGCATTGGATAAAATCAGATTAACGTTTAAATATATCATAAATTTATCAAGATAAAATTAAAGGAAGAAGAATAAAAAAACGTTATCGTCATCGATCAAATTTACTACCGTAAACAGCCTTAATTATTATTAGACGTCGCAGATTTAATTACCACTATTTTCGTCGCGCGATATAATGAGGGAATTGAATATTTACGGTACTTACTCATCCTCTATACCAAGAAGGTATCCTATGCCTCTCCATGTGTGGCAAAAAGCTTCCAAATCTTCATCGCTAGCGTCAATTCCGAGCTCGTTGGGGTGCAGCAGAATCATCCCGACAAAAGCGAATTGCGTGGCTCCCATATCAGCTTGATTCAATCCTTTCGGTTTGATCAGTAGATGTAAACAACCGTTTTCGACGGTCGGGTATGGACAGGAAGAAAAGTCTTCTAAAATCGCTTCTCTGCCCGGACAACATGGATTCGAAATTTTAGTGGCCGTGTCGATCTCCTCGTTGTCGCGCTCGCAAAGTTTCAATCGTATCGCACGGTGCATTCTACGCACAGTTTGCACGTCCTTGTAAGGTTGCGTGCCCACGGTCCAAGGATCATCCATCATCCAATTTTTTATACGGCAAGCTGTGGACAAGTACCTAATAATCGGAAATTTATTGAGAAATAAATAACTTATAACTCATCGTGATGCTGGATGTAGCATCTGATCGAATCTGATTTTCAACTGTTGCTTAATCATCGAAAAATGCCGCTATATGAGTATGAAAAAATGTTTATTGCGCTTAATTCTAGTAGAATTAATTAATATATTAATTACTATAAACTCGTAATGAATTTTAAATTCTGGAATTGTAATCGTGTGATCTAGAATTATAGTTATGTTTTACAAGACAATTAATATAATTTATAAATTTTAATGGCATACATGTCAAATAAATTGTCTTCACTAATCAATTTATATTCATGTGCTGTTTCTTTCGCGCAGAATGTATTATTGATATGAGAAATGTAAATTATGTGTCAATATTGTGTGAGAGCTCAGTTACGACATTTTTCTTAAGATATTTTAAATACGGCGAAGAAAAACTGATTACATAAGAGAATCTGTTTCACACCAAATTATTTATTGCTTTGTGAGCTTTACATCTCATCGAATTATTTGAATTTTGAAGCAACAATTTTACATTACTTCTTTTAATATAACGTTCGCAGAGCACTGTCATATACTAGATTTCCTATTATTTATTTTATTTTCTAGTATTGATATTTCTATTATTTATCTTATACTGCTATAAAACGATAATATTTGATTCAGAATCGAGCAAAGTATTTGCAAAGATACAATTCCTTCCTTTGTTTAATTTTTTCCGATTCAAGATCCGATTGATAAATATCAAGGTCTATTAATTCATATACGTATTATTATTATTTTTTTTTTTTTTTTCAAGACTTGATTTGACTTAAGACAACTACCGAATTGCGAAAAAGAAGATTTAGGCTACACTGTAAAAAAATTTTGTAAAATTACAACTATTTATGGGTGATTTTGAGACCCACTAATAGTTGGAATTATACAATATAATGGTTGTAATTTTACAAAATTGCAGTACGGAAGGAAAAAGTAATTTTGTATTACAATTACACAAATTAAAAATGTGTGGAAATTTACACCTATTATAGTGGGTCTCAAAATTACCTGTAATTTTACAAAATTTTTTTACAGTGTAAGTTTCTCGCTTAAATCGCAATTGCAAATGTGTAAAGTTATGACCATTAAATTGACTCTCAAGAATTATCTATCGATTTATCTGTCTCAATACGAATTTCTTCTGAGTTCCTTAGCAAAAACGCTGTTTTATAAATAGCGGCTTAAGAGATTTTGCCGAAATCATTGCGTACCTCTTGAATGCTAAATACGGCGTGTGAGATTGTCGGCTGAAGATAATCGGTTTTAAACCATCCGTGAAAGCGAATATCTCGAAAAGCGATAACAAGTTAGCTAAAAGGATCGAGGTAATGTGATCTCGCGCGAACTTTTGACCTCTCTGGAACTTTTTTATGTCCAACCAAAGCGGTTTGTCCGTCGAATTTCGACCGCAATCTCCCCGATACTGTGCGGCCGGTATGAAGAATAATAAGGAGTCTGGTATACTTGGCACATATATTTTCATGTTACTTATTATGTGTTCATATTGTTCTTTGTCCGTCCATTTATCATAATCCTTCGGTTTCGCGGGATTCTGATCGACAATGTGCTTCATCTGTTTCACAAAATGTTCGATGTATTTAACGGCGTTTCTTGCCTCTGCGAGTTCATAATATTCGTTTTTGATTGCATCTTCTATGTATGTATCGATGCTATTGTTGTTTTGATTTTTTCGATTTAATATAATTTCCTCCATCGTATCCTGCGTATTGTGATGTTGTATCCGAACCAACTTGCTATTATTCGTAATTTCTGTCTGCTCTATCCACCGAATACAGTCATTTGTCTCTTCCATTTTCTATCTCCCTTTAATAATTTTATCAGCGATAATTGCTTTGGACAAGTTATCCTGTAATATGAAATAACATTAATATACAAAATAGCAGAAAGAAAGAAATTCAATGTGTTTGTTACTACTATATAAAGTATTGATTTACGTTTACGAATCATCTGTATGGGTACATATAATTCTGAACATACAAAATAAGGCATAAATATATTTTTTAAATAAGAGAGAAATATTATGTGAATGTAAATCGTATTTTCTGATAAGAAAACGGACTCAAGTGTTTTTTCTTATCAATTTTGATGAGCTTTGAGCTATGTTATAATATACATAAAAGTAAAGAACATATATTTCCTGTACGTGCTCTCATTGGATTATTTTTACATAATAGTAATTATTAAAATAGTGAAAAAAGTCAACTAGATAAATCAAATATTAGTTAGATATTAAAGTTTATTTGAAATGATAAATAAGTTAATTAGAATAATGCGTAGTGTGTGATGATATAATTTAGTAATAGTATTATAATGTAGTAATAATATTATAATTTAAATATTTAAATTAATAAATGCATTGACGCAATAGGAAGCGATTATAACAATACCACCGCAAATATCGCATTAGTTTCAAATGACATTTAAGTATTTAAATGAAATACGACATATTAAACCAACATGACGTAATTTGACTTAAACACTTAAATATTTTAAATAAAAAATGGTAATCAGTTGAACGCATTTCGTCAAATTAACACAACATATTTTTTCTCAGTGTACCAGCAAGTCATTCGGTGTCTTTATTGGAATTAATTTCATTCCAGAGATACATATAAAATATGAGGACTTTATATTAACAATAAACTTTTATTAACAAAAAAAACAATAAAAGTAGAAATATATTAAAAGTATACGTATAGTAATAGAACAATAATAAAGAAGACTTTTTCAAAAAGTGCATTTGTATAAATCAACTTTATATATAGTTGAATTCGTCTTTAAACAAACTTTAAAATCAGCGGGAGAAGGAGAGTTAAAAATGTAAAGACTAGTCATTTTGCAGCACTCCCTACAATTGAATTTTATAAAGGCCCAACTTGTGACACTTGCGGATAGTTATATTATAGTGACGCCATATTTTTTATAAGCAACTGAACCACCAGCTTTTGACGTCACCCCTTTTCAACAATTTTTATGCTCCTGTTTTACTAATTGTAAGTATTTACCGCAAACGAATCCTTTATAGTAAAATCCTAACCCGTCTTTTACTTTCTTCTATCCAGAAGTGAGGATGCCACTAGTTCAACTATATGTATAGCTCCCGACTTATATAGTGTATTCGAAGTATCAGTCTTTCCTGTTATTAAACCAGTTTTCTTACGTAAGAAAAAACCTTGGCATTTTTTCATTATTTTCGCTTTAGGCTTGTTGTTTGTTATGTAAACATTTTTTTTTGTTTTATTTTTGGCTCCGTAGTAGGTTCTGCACATATGAATTTTCCCCCTTTCAAATTTTGTTAAAAGTCCAATTATGCAGGAATCGGCAGTGTCGGCTTTTGAGCTACTCGCTCACTCGTTACATAAAAGAAATGTTTCAATAGTACGTGCTCATCTTGTATTCCGAGAAAATATTTGTAACATTTCGAGATACGATGTGTAGATCCTTGCCCGTTGCATTCCCCAAATTTGTCTCACAGACGGCTCTATTCGAATATTTTTTAAATACTCTTTCAGAATTTTATAAAGGCATATTAACATTAATTGTCACTTTTCTAAAATAATATAATCTTTTTTTGTATCTATCTCAAAACAGCTGTTTTTCTCGGAAAATCATAACTCTTTGAAATTCTATATCTCCGATTTCATTTAATATTCCAGCTAAAAAATCTCGTGACCCGATGCAACGCTCTCATCTTTCACGTCGATGCTCGTTGGTGCCATCGAGCAACGAGAAAATAGCTCGTATAATAGGTGGTTGATACAATAGGATATAATGGGAGCCATGTAATATGATGGGCGCAGGGGAGTTGTTATTTATGTATGGGAAACGTTCGTTCAACAGAAACATGAAATCAGGTTCTAAATTAGACATTTCTCTATTTCTCGATCATATTTGTTGCGGAGGGAATGCTTCGAACGGAAATCCCAAAGAAAGAGAGAACATATTATTTTTCGATATTTCTACATTGGGAAATATATTCTATATTATCGGACATCGGTGTGGTTTTGCGCGAAGCAAGGCCGTAATTAAGGTTGAAATACAGTACGATTCTGTTTATTTATACAACGTCGAGCATTATCGACGTTATTATACATTTCTACCTTCGCATATTGTGCAGTTTGCTTCGGAAAAGTATTTTTCAACATTACGTTTATAATCGTGTTATTCGTGGATCAAAATTTTCTCGACCCAATCGCACGTCATGAATATTCACTGTCCAGTTGCGGAGGAGCGTATACCTGATTTACAGTCCGTTTGTTTTAATGTGCAATAGTAGTAGCAATGCACCAGGGTGCATTGTGCCGTAAATTTCAAGATTACATCTACATGGATTGTTTATGTTATGCTTACACGAACTTTTTTCATCCAGACGATGTAACTAATGTAAATTATTATAAATTGAATGATTGATTGATTTCTTAAACTGTACTTTTGCAAAAGGCCCAACAAAAATAAAAAGTAGTTTTAAACTTGATTAGATTAGATGCGCATTTCAATTTTAATTTAGTTATTAACTGTACAGCGATATAAGAGATGCGTGATATTAATATAGAGAAATATTATATATTATTTACGCTGATCTTTATGCGCTTTTAAACGTTAAGAAGCAGTATATTGTTTACCTCATAGTTGCAACATGCACAATATGCATAATATTTAGTTTTTTCTTATACAGATATAAAATCATAAATTTTTTAACCATTGTTAATTTTTTTAAATATCCTAAAGATTGTGCCATAGCGTTAAAAATAAAATTGCACGCGACATATATGAATTTCCGATATTTCTGACGAAGTATATAAATCTTCGATGATCCTCTCCATAAATTATTCATTATTTACATAGCTGACACGTTAACCCGTTGTGGTCACAGCTCCTAAAAATAACGTAGTGGTCACACGGGGTCCAATGGACCCCACAACAGTTTCCATTTGCGTTCTTTTTTGATGTATCGACTCAAACCTTGAACTGGAATTAATTTATGACTTCCTCTTGATAATCCAATAATTTAAAAAATTTTTTTATGTTGAAAAAACGCGAGAAAAAAAATTTTTTTTTCGAGATATTTGACTGTTTTCACAAAAATATTTATCAAAATTTTTTAGATAGAGCAAAAAAACTTTGTACGTTTTACTTTCAAAATAGTATACTTAAAAAAAAAAAAAAAAAAAGGTTCGGTGGACCCCATGTAACCACAACGGGTTAAACATAATTTACATTATATGTATACACGTAGATGTAAATTTATTATATTTTTTTATACTCGTAAATGCCCAACTCTGCAATGTATCACAAATGTTCAGCTGTTGGTAAAATAAATGCAAGATAATTACAACCGAGGTAAATGCTGATTCTCGGGATCGAATGTATCATTTTCGAGAGATAAGCTTTTTTTCATTTGTCTGCATAGTTTAGTTTGTTAAATCAAAATTTTATTTATATGTGTAATGTTAAATATTAATATTTAACAAAAACTGTCAATTTTATTTTAAAACGCCCTATCGCGTGATTTTCTTGAACATGCTTTCTTATATTTGCAAAAATGTTAGATTAAGCATATCATGAAAATTCTTGCAAATCCGGAAATTAATGTTATTCTTACCGGCATAATTGGCTGCATATATATTTATTCGTAAATAAATATATGTATAACACACTACATGAATTATTTTATAAAATATTGAGCTTTACTAAAATTAAGCTAAAGATCAGACATCAGCCGATCAAAGAAGATGCAATTCGGTCACCGAATTCGGTCGCACGTACGAGCGAGAACACTGTTTGATCTTCGATCACTAGCTGAAATTTTCAGAGAGAGCGTCTTGTAAAAGAACTCACGTAAATGTGACAGAGCTTTAGTGCTACAATTGTGCACCCGGTAGTCTGTCCATGCAATGGTCTACGACGAAAATTCGCGCGATCGAGAGAAGAACTTCCTAAAGGCGGAAAGGGACACGAGAGGGGCCACGTGACCGGGCGCGTGTTCAACAGTAACAGCTGCACCGATGCAGCTCCTTTCAATTCACGTTGAACCTCCACCGAGGTAACACAGCGACGGTCACCTGAACGAGTTTTACTCCTCGATCGCGCGGAATTATTTCATCTCCGAGTGCCGATTAAAATTGATTCCGTCTGCGTTTGTCAATTCAAACGTCGCAAATTATTCCGCTTTCCATCTCTGAATCAAAACATCAGAGATCGCGGAATAATTGTCCTCGTTTTGAGTACCTCGACGCAGAAGAAGAAGTTATGAATATAACGTAATTCTCGAGGAAAGAAAGAAGTGATTCCGATTGAAGTGGCAAGATCGAAGCACGAAGACTAGAACTCGGAAGACAATATAATGGATAACCGCAGAAAGCTAATCCGCAATCGATGCGTGATGCTGACAATTGTTCTCGCGTACACGCTGGCGGTATTCATTAAGGTATGTATACGCAAATTCTTTTCGTACGGCGATTGAACATGTCCACGCACTTAATCTGAAAAAATGTTCAAGAAAGTAGTGCCTAAATGGATTTATCTAAATACAGAAATAAATCATAACTCATTACGATTTACTTGAATTACTTGTTTGAAAGAAGATTGCACCCGTTCGATAAGTATTTTGTCCCGTGTTTCTTATCAAAACGTAGGACAAAATATTTACCAAATCGCGCGATGTAAAATTCAATTGCATCGCCGTAATCCGCCAGGAACGATACACATTTTTTTAATAACATTTGAATCGCTTTGAAGACAATTGAATGAGAACCATCGCCGTTAAAAAGGGAACGATTGACGGTATTCTCTTCCTTCTACCTTTGCTTTGAAATTCCGTGAAATCTCCGCGTCGCACGATCTCGGGCGTAGCGTAATTTCGAGTGTTGCGAGAAATGCGAGAGCCCTGTTAAACGAGACATCGGACTAATTACCGGCTGGATACGTCGCGAATGCAGGATGAGGGAGAACGGCCGAGGTAGCAATCGTCGTGCGAAAGCAGAGAAATTTCGATAGGTTTCACGATAATTATTACTACGTGATTCGCCTGGTTAAAATATCACTGACGGATAAAATCAATTCTCACATCCGTAAAGCACGACCTCGCAACAGTGGGACGCGGATAAAAGGATGGTAAAGAAAAATGAAGGGGCTTGCCTTGCGCGAGAGTTTAACCGGAAATATCAAAACTGCTCGGATATTTATCTGCGCGATATTTATCTGAACGAAATATGATTCGTGTGGAAGTCAGAAATCGCACGTAAATGCCTAATATTTCTTCTTTTATGGTTAATCTTCATAAATTTTATTGAAAGAAATAAGAATGTTTTAGTTAACTTATTTTAGACACTTTGTGTACAAATTAAAGTCTATTATTTTTCATATTTCTTCAGAATTATAATTCTCTGTTATTGGTTATAGAATTTAACATAAATGATAAAAACTGTGTATGTTATAGTAGCTGTTTTTAGAATACTAATATAATTATAATTAATCGTAACTTTAGAATAACTACATATCGATATTTTCTTTTCTAAACTATAAATATATTGCCGAGGAAAAGAAAGTGGGAGAAGCTATCTCGAGAAACCTCCGATCGATTAACGGTTACTGAAAACGGTCAGAATCGTCGCGAAATTTTCATTGTGTAGCTCAAATATGCCTCATTATACATTTTGTGACGCATTAGATCGCAGAATTTTTAGAATGCTAATAGAATCATAATTAATTGTAACTTTAGAATGACTACATATCGATATTTTTTTCTTCAAACTATAAATATATCGTTGAAGGAGAGAAAGCGAGAAAAGTTCGGCTATATCGAGAAACCTTGGATCGATCAACGGTTACAGAAAACGGTCTGAATTCATCAAATTTTCATCGTGTAGCTAAATACGTCTCGTTATATATTTTGCGACGCATTAGATCGCAGATTCGCGTGCATGTTGGTAGAATGTGCGAAAAGTTGAGCGCAAAATGTACGATTGCGCGGGTGTTATCTGCGATCGTGTGCGTGTGGAGGCTCGGACGCGCACGTACCGCCACACTCACACGTTACGCGTGTGTCAGCGGGTTATTCGGTTCACTGGGGTACGCCGTGCTTTATGAGGCTCATTAGCAAGGCATGGGAACCCGGAGTCGGCGGTTCCGCTCGAAGCGCGATTTTCGCGATGCTCTCCTCGGCCCCTGATTCCTTCGCGTTCCTACGCTTCCGCATAAGCATGGGGAACGTTCGTTGTTCGTAACGATGTGCGTCAAACGGACAGAGGGAAAGAGAGACAGAGAAAGAGACAGAGAGAGAGAAAGAGAGAGAGAGAGAGCCAGAGAGTTGCATACAAAGCTATTGTCGCAGACGCGAGGAAAAGGTATCATTACTCTGTGCTAACGCAATCGTGTGCAATTATCTCGTGCGATTCGCGCATATCGGTAGATTACGGTATCGGCGCGGCGTGGTGACCTGACGGGCGGATGACAGAAGGAAATTATTTGCGAAACGGTACTTTGTAACGCACCCACGTAGCTTTAGAGAAGAATACGGTGCACTCGAGTCGCGAGACGAGAGATGCAAAGGGGAGAAAGAGAGGGAAAGGGACGCGAAATGTTCAATTGTTGGCGCAGCATTGCGCCAGGAAGGGCATGAACTCCTTCACGTATTTTCATTGTGTCATTGTGAGTTATCGACGTGGAAGGATCTGTTTGACGAACGGCGCCTCGAGACTCGCTACAGAGCACACGTAGAACCGGCTGAAGAGGTAGATCTTATGCGTGCGACTGATGGAGCCTCGAAAGGTACCGGGCCTCATTAGCATCGTAAGAGAACTCGAGGAACACGGTTCCCTTAGCAATGATGCAATTGTCGCGATATCCTCTTATATCTCTCATTCTCTCAATAAAGACGCAAGACGCTCGTTCGCCGGATATAAAATTTTAACGAGCGTAACCGGCGCTATTCAATTATCGCCCGTTTTTCTCTCGTTTTCCTGCGCTCTCGACTTTTCATTCGATAATTTCTGTATCTTCGTTAGCGCAATTACGCGATACGTACGCTACTTTGTATCACAAGTACTTAATGATGAATATTGTTAAATTAATCGCAGTTGCTGCGATTTCTTATCAATTCTGACGTTTTACGCGATGTTCCGTGTTCGGCGTGGCGTTGAAAATTCTTCGCGAAAACGAGTCGAGTTTGCTCCGCTTTTGTCTCAAATGCCTGGCACGTCGTCGAGAATGTCAGACGCAACTTATTCGCGACGTCGAAATAGTTGCAAGAATATGCTTTCATCTCCCTCCCCGTCCAGGTGCGTGCCCTCCTCCGATTTATGGGATACGCGGAGGGCGGAGTGTTCATGGAACAATGGGGTGCGTAGCGACCGAAGATAATTATCGCGGTTCTCGAAGGCAGCTGCGGCTGTGGGTTCACCCTCGGGGTAACCCAGTTGTCTTCCTCCGGGAAGTAGAACCGGCTGGCGCGCTCAGAAGTCTCACGCACACCCGCACACACGTGTAATACACGCACATCCATAGAAAGGGAAAAGAGGGGAACCCAGTCTGGCGTGACTCCGCAGGTTACTTGCCTGTTGCAATTTTGGCGGTGCCCTCCTCTAAATATATCGGGACTTTGCGGTTTGTTCGAGCACGTTGAAAACGGAAATAACATCAGAATGTATCGAAGGATCAAATGTATCAAAGGACTATGAATGGTAATAGGAACATTGTACCATCGGTTCTCGAGTACACGAATTTCTCGTATTAAATGTGTTACATTTAAATGTGATTAAATGTAATAATTGTTTTATTTTTTTCTCTTCCAATTAATTAATATTTCCCGATTATTTACGAATTTGTACAAATATGGGAAAGCAAATTTAGTAAATATTTTACAATCAGTACTGGCAGGCTGAGAAATCGAAAAGATTTCAATCCGTACCGGAATACGTGCATCGGCGACGAGCACGAAACGCCTTACCTGTAATAATGTTTGGAACGTGTCTCCATTCAGCTTCAAAATTACTGCAATTTTTTTTTCTCTCGTGCGCGGGGTATCCGCCTTTTCCGGTGACAAATGGAAGTGGGCCACGTTCCTTCAGGTGAATCGGGCAGGAATAATTCGCCACCCGACGCCACCCTATTCATACGCGCGAGTCTTTTCAGCCACCCTTTCCTCACAGCGCTCGTGTGCACGCGCATTAAAAATTCTTTCCTTCTTTCATTCGTTAATTATTTTTGTGGTCTTGAAGACGAAACGGAGTATTTAATAATACAATGGTAATATTTATTTATAGTTATCGCTCATCACGAAATAAATAGCGAAAATTATTTTCAAAGTTCTTTCTGGACCATTTGATTTTTCAATCTCTGCTTGACCAGCGAAATTCTTGAATAAAACGCAATTATTTATTTCGCAAAAGTGTCTAATAATAAAGCGCGGAAAAATGTAGCTTTTAGTAAAACTGAACGATCGAATGGACGTCATCAAAGTTTTATGTCGCGTCGCATCTATCGTCGCAGTCTATTCGTTTGAAATTTATCGGTATCGACGTGTCGACGAGGGGGAAAAAAAAGGAAAGGAAAAAAGAAGCAGAAGTGGGACACAAAAGGGACCGGCAATTACCGCTTCCGTTCCGTTCGTCATACCGGAAGTTTCTATTCATACTCGTTGCACTATGAGCGCAACGTTACTTCCGTCATCGTTGTTACGGATCGTTAGCAGACCCCGCCCGGCTTTTGCCCGGTCGCGTATCGATATCCTCTAAAAAAGTTGTATCGCAAAAATATATCTTCGCGTTTACGAGAGGATACCGAGCTCCTCGACGCGCTTCTTTTGCGTCTAATACTGTTTACCGGCGCGCCGCAGGTTCTTCAGGGTCCGTAAGGATCCTGTTTCCACGACGCATAATTCGCAAGGTGCTTGTAGTTGGTGGAGAGCCAGCGAAAAGAAATATCGGATATTGCCAAAGGGTGCTTATCCAACGCGGCGCAAGTCCTCTCTTTCTCTCTGGTCCAGTTCGCTCTGTATTGTTCGAGCGGCCGCTGCGTCGAAGCTCCGAGCGACGGACTCGTTGAACTCGTCCCGATTCCCGAGTATATGTACAAGAACGCTCCGCGCGGTTTCTACAAACGAGCTTTTTTCCCGATCGATAAATCTTACCCGGGTAAAACCGTCGTGTCTTCTCGACTGTTGCGAAGCCCTCGTGGGTATATATTTTCATTGAGGAACGTCCCTCCCGCTTGGAGCGATTCTTCGGAGAGAAGCACCGAAGATCGATGTTTCTTGCTTGTTGACGCCGTTACCGAAGTATTCGCGCTCTCTGCTGAAATTAAACCTCAACACTGCAGCTCCTCTCGGTTCTTAACTCACTTCGACACGGGGAATACAATCTTCCATTAAAATTCTATTACGCCAAACTTTGAAATTAACTCCGAAGAACAAAATTCTATTTGTTCTCACTTATTTGTCCGCCTTTTTCTGAAAATTAATTTGTTGGGAAATTTATTTGACGTTTAATGGTTTATCGGTTTATCCAATGCACTAACTTAATAAGGTAGTTATTCACTTCGAAGGGTCGTAACCCTTTCCATACTTAGTATACCGCGATCGTAAATTGACAGCAAGCATCCTTTCATGTGACGATGACTCATGTTACTTCCGAGATAAAATGATGAGCGCTCTATTGTGAATTATTGAGAAAATAATGTCTGTTTCTCCTAAGAACAATTCTCTTTTAATACAAAACCGTAAAACTGCAAAGTGATGTAAGTCAAAGTATAAGCGCAAATAAAATAAAATTAAAAATTATCCTTTAGATGTACTGCATATGCTTATTCTAATTTACTTTACGGATTTATGATTTCGCATGAAAAAATATTATGAAAAATTTTATTACAAGCATTTTTGCAAGCCGAAGAAATCTTATGACTTCTAATTTTTCTTTTTTTTTCAAATTCAAGATCTCGTATTCGTTCACCGTACGAGGTTGATGGTAGATTGCTTTCAGGAAATACAAGTATTTATTTCTCGATAATCCATTGTCGCGAGCAGCTCGATGGCAGGCACATGACGTGCGGTGGCGAACAAGCGACGGCGGTGTGTGCACAGAGGCAAGGTGAAGGGTTTCAAATTAAGGCCCGGTGCTAACGATTCGCGTGATGCGTGGTGACCGTCGGCGCGTGCCGCACGAGACAGCTGCCAACAGCTGCCGTAGAAAGGGATCGCCTCTCATTCTTGTTTTACTTGTTTTTACCTGTCGCTTCTGTGGTCAAGCGATAACGTCCGTCCCGAAAAATACGATGGACAAAAGTCTTTCATGTGAGATAAATTATGTTGAAAATTTAACGACGATTAGGAGTTTAAGTATTCTTTGAAAAAAAGTAATATGAATCCAGTTGACTGCGGATATTCAGTTGATTTTATACGTATTCGAAATTTAGATTGTGAGGTCCTTTGTCTCAGATGAAATAAACCATTATTATATTAATATGTGAAAAGAGGCAACTAGAGGGATTATAAATAAAATATCTTTTAGTAATATATGTTAATAATCAATTGAGTAATATTACTCAATATTTGGAAAGTCTCAAACTGAGAGAGTTTACGGATCGGCAGTCGATCGGGTCTCAATTTATTTCGAGAAAATTAGTCGGCGAAAGTGTAGCGGATATCCTAACGTATTAAAAGCAGCATTTTATGCGTGAGAGAGTACGGAGGCTCATATATCGCGTCTCTCGATCTGCCCGAAGTAGGCGGAAGAAAGGCGCAAGGTGTTCCCTCGAAGTCAGGTGGCCACCTTCTCCGGTGCACCTGTTGTTCGACGGTTGAACCTGCATTTCATCAGTTTAGGTATTAAACGGAGTAGGAAAACAATGTTCAATGTAATACCGATTATTAGCAAGACCGATAATTTGCAATCCGATGTACTCGCGAAGCAATCAAATTATTGTTCTTAGAAGCAGCTTTGCACCGTTCGAAGGAACTGCACCCAGAAATGCAATTTCAGGCATAGACTTTTAATTATCAAATGTCATTCGGGGGTCAATTAATCGTTTCGGATCGACCAGAGTTTCAATAAGTCAGTTTTCAAATAATTTCGAGGATCCGATCCCAAAAGATCTCGCAACGGATTCCTCCGCTCGGGTGACTCGGGGAGCACTAACCATCTGCCGCTCTGCGTTTCCAGGCGGCCGAGAGCAGGCCTCACATCAGGCACCACCGGGACGGCTCGCACTGCAGCAGATGCGGTCCAGGCTGGGGCGTGATTAGCCGTTGCGCTCGCGGCCGCGACACCGTGTGCGAACGTTGCCCCGCCGGCACGTACAGCCCGCATCACAGCACGCAGCCCTGCTGGAACTGCGCCAGATGCGGCCCGGGTCTTTACGAGGCCCATCCGTGCACCACGCGCGCCGACACCGTCTGCGACTCCTGTCACCGCCCGGCGCCGGACAATCCGGACTATCGGCGCAAATGCGAGGGCCGCGCGAGATTCTTCCTCGCGCCGGAGGACGCGCGGAGCACCGCCGAGGAAAGCGTGCTGGTCAACGAGCCGGCCTACCGCTTCCAGATCTACGACAGGGAGGAGGTGCTCGAGAAAGACGTGGAGGCCGTCCTGAGGGACAAGGCGGCCGCCGAATCGGAGGTTCTACGGAGGATTCAATCACCGACCGAACATTAATCCCGAATAACGAAGACGCTCCCGACGGATTCTCCCGTCGGAATGAAATCGGACGAAAAAGAAGGTATAAAGTTATCTCGATTGTTGCAAAATTCTTGAAACTTTTAATTAAAAAAAAAAAGAGAGAAATAAATGGATCATGTAGAAGTAAAGAAAGGAAAATTTGACAGACCCGTAATAGGATTAGAAGAACAATGTACATTGTACGTTCGCTATCGATCGATCTTTCAATGCTAGTCAATTAGCGCTTAAGAGAATTAAGCTGTTTGTGGAACTGCGTACGACTGTGGTACGAGTTCAAAAAAATGGGAATTTTCATTTGTTTGTCCGTTAGAATCCCAATTTGCGCCGGGCGACGCGGTGTGAAGAGATGGAAAATACTCTCTGACCCGTCGCTAAGTATATTAGCATATAAATAAATCCTTCTCCTGAATACGAATAGACTGTTACATTTTTAATATTTAGATCTGTATTGCAAGTCGTATTACACAGGTAGATGTATCGGTAGCTGTTATCTGTAGTGTCACCATAGATTCGCGGAATACATTGACATTTTTACACGCAGTCATCCTCTCGTGGGACACGGTTCTGCGGATGATTTACGCGTGAAAATTATTTACGACTATTGCATCTATACCGATTATTATCGCTGATAAGCACATTGATTAATTATAAGTGCGCGTGTATGTATAATTGATCAGCATACTCGGATTCACGTAAAATCGGCACGTCTTTTCAGTTTCGCTCGAAATTAGTGTGATATTGGCGGACGTCAAATCGATGCGGTCTTCAAACGTTATTTCGTCTAAAAATATTTTGGTCTCCGTGATTACGAATTCAATCTTTCAATCCATGATTGATGAGCGTTTTTTAATCATGCGAACGATCCAGATATAAATATCCCCGGGCTTTATCTGTAAAGTATAATGGATGTTTGCGTTGCGAAATACGGTCATCAACAGTTTTTAGCATTATTTATACGTAATTCCGTCTATACGGATATTTTCTGTGAATATACGTCAGCTTGCAGTGTACTTTGCTAAGCGTACTTTGATTATTCTCTTTAGACATTGGCACTGTTTAAAATTCTAATATATTGCTGACAGAAGAAGAATGAACAATATTTATCAGGGTTTTTAATACTTTGCATTCCTTTTTTTTCTTTAATCGCTATGGATTTAAATAGAAAATAAAATACAATTAAATAAAAAATTTGATTGTCTCTTTCCAACTTTAAAAATTCGTGCATAAAAAGAGGATATTATTAATATCCAAAGAATCATTTTATGTCACTATATTTATCATGAGATGAATATAATGTGCATATTTATCGAAATGCACGTTTTAGTTTTAGCATCGAAGATGGATCTGGATTATTATTTTACGCATAACTTTCCTTGATCAAAGGGATTAATTGTGAGATTAACGAGTGCAACAAGCAAAGAAAAAATACAGATCAGTATCGATAAATGAGATCGTGCTAACAAAGTTCAATATATTCGAGGTGAAAGTTTTGCAGATGTGTGTGTTTGTCCTCGATTAATCTCGCCAAGTAATATCATCGATAATATGTCGACGTTTTTAAGTCACCGTGACACCTTTATTCATCTCCTTCCAAAACGAGAACGCTGGAAGTACTTTATCAAAAAAATATAAGTCGATAGATTTCTGTCCCACCTATTTCTTTTTTACTCTCACGTTTTAGTTATATGTAACATCACATGCGACTGATCTAGAGTGTATAGCAGCGTAATACTTTAAGTTAAAGACTAATTATAAATCAGAGGAAGGTGAACGTCATCCGGTACATATGTACGAAATATTTCGACAATTATTTTACGAACAGACACCCCCGGAATCAAGTACACATCGTCTCCTTTCTGCGATATTTGTGCTCACCTAATAGTAATCTCAGCTTGGATTCATATATCGTGGTATCGAAAACTTTCCAAATTTAATCTATAAAAATTTTTCAACTTACCCTATTTATAATTGGCCTTTAATTGGTCCCCTTGTGATTCGATACAACGATTTCAACTATGCTTCAAACACCTGGAAGTCTTTTTTCTGTACCGCGTCAAGCACTACGATCGGGTTCGATTTCGGTATCGAAGATTTGTGCTTAATAACGTTCAATGTTCGACGCTCAACTTCTTTTAAGCGCAAATGCCACGCTATATTTCATAATGCAGACTGTTTGGAGTTTTGTTACAAAATGCATGTATAATGAAACATTTTAAGACTCTTGATTTGCTGACGAATGATTAATTAAAATTTAAACAGTTTACATTGCAAAATAGCGGAAGTTACGCTTGAAAAGGCTAAATTTCGAGTATTACACGTCATCGAAGACGACGCACATAAGACATTCACGCACATCCCCCGAGAATATTAGAAAAATTACACAAATTATTCGTGAAGGTATAATATTATCCACGACATTTGTGACATCGTTAGAATATCATACTGAGTCTACCAGGCGATCTTCACTAACGATTTCAACATACGTAATGTCACTGCCAAGTTTCTCCCCCCAGGTTTCGTTGCCTGATGCAATAATATTTGGCAACAATATCCCGATCGTCTCGCGTATTCTATATTTGCCAAATTTAGCCCCGTTATGATTTCCCAAAAATGAAAATAAAAATCAAGACGTTTCGAGACGATATAGAAGATCGAGGCCGAATCGCAAGCGTTATGAAAAAAAAATAAACTATTTCGAAGGGGATGAGGGCCAATTGTAAATAGGGCAATGTCTAAAATTCTTGACATTATTACTACATAGTTAGAGTCCTCATGAGTGTTACGTATGCGAAATAAGACTGCAAAGTATATTAATATTACGTTGACACCGATGGTGTCCATTGACCGATAAAATATTTCGTGTCAAATATGCGTCAATGTGTCTCTCGAATGTTTAATGTTTCATATATCTGCGAATTTCATTGTCAAACGGACGCGTGACTAATAATTAAACGCCAGAATACTTTCAAGGTCAGACGGACCGGCCAGTGGCGAATTTTAGTGCTATAAAAGTGTATCAAATAATACTATTAATTTATTTTAGTACTGTAAAATGTATTTTTAAGAGTACGTTGTTGTAAATATACCTTAGCTGAAACGCTACTTGAACATCGTCGTTACTTCATTTATCGTACCATTCCGATATTTTATCATATAATGAACTTTTGTATACCTGCAGATATTAATTGTCAAAAAAGACGCTCTCAATATATAAAAGCGCATTTTCGTAATAACTAGCTTCTACACGATTGCTCGTGCTTTTATAACTAGTTCCGGTTCGGTCCAATTTTCAGAATGCTTTTTCGATGAAACAAATTTTTGTTCTGGTCTCAATTTCTTGCCTTCTAAAAAACTATGTATTTGCAATCCGAAATCTGCAATCTAGTTATAAAAGTTACAATGAACATTCGGCACGTCTTATAAGAATTTTGATCGTTAAGTAAAATGTGACACAAGATTGAGATTGAACTTACTGTTAAACGGAGAAAACTATTGGAACAAAACGAGAGAATCAAGAGTCGGACAAAGTAGGCACATTTTTGTATGAGAGATAATATTTATGTTTATATATTATTTTATGATATAAATCAATAATGTCTTATAAACGTACATGTACATACAAAGCTAAACGATACAAAATAAATCGGTGATCCAGGAAAGAACGCTTGCACGATTTATTCTGCGTATAGGAATCGGCTAGAGCGCGGTACTCGCGGAAGAGAGAAAAGGGCGAAAACGAACGCACGCTACGGGACTAAAGATTGTTCTCGCGTAAAGATTGAATGTAGAAACTACGGCGTCTCACGAGCTTCGCAAAGTTCTCCGAAGCTCGGAATTCGACGGGTATTAAATCGAAACGGCGAAATTCGTAATACGTATATGTGTAAAAGGAAAAAAGAAATACGTGTATTCGAACGATGTGCCACGTGCATAACTAGAACGAAAAAGTCCTCCTACGAAACTCGCTGCGCGAAGAAGAGTAACATAGTAATACAGTTAATCGCAGCTGGAGATCAAGACCAATGTACGTTCGTTAACTTTAATTTCGACCTCGAGGTCACGACGGTCAAAAAACCGTGCGAGGCAACCGCCCATATGCATATATGCTACACGAGGAAATAAATAGCGATGAGCGTCGTTAATTACAAAGGGGACGAAAGTCGCAATCCACTATGATATTATCATACAATACGCTCGTCCGTGTAAGCGCGAGCGAGGCGGCTCGTGCGGCCGAAAATCCGGTCGCGATTTGCCCCCCTCGGCGCTTCTTTTTTTTTTCTTTTCGCGCTCATCAACCATCTCGGCAGTTGCTCGCGGATGGGTCTATTAAATTTCTACATTAAATCTGTACACGATTAGACCGCAATCGAAAAGGAGACAACGACACAGAACGACGGCGCGAGAAGGTAGACACTCCCGCGCGCAACGGTCACACACTCTTCTTTTTTTCTTAATTTCTCTCGCGAACAAACGAGTATTTTTAGGACTGCACACGCTCGAATATCCGAATATTAGAATATCCCGACGTTCGCAGATATAATCCTAAGGAGGTGATACGCTCTATGGCGCTAATGCGAAATGCGAAACGCGATAAATTATACGAGAGGTGTCTCGTATCACGTTGCTTCGCGCGACTTTTAAGAACATTCGGCTTACCGAAGAATTCTAACGGGTAACAACGAATCACGGATGGACATTCAGGGTATTCGAATTATTCGAATATTCGGCGACGTGTTGCAGTCAAATATCGTATTGACGTCGACGGCTTCGATCGTCAGCGGATCGGAACATCGCCACGTGATAATCTAACAACTGTGTGTCGCCACACATTTCTCTTAGTAATATATATATATATATAATTCATGTATATTTTTTTATAATATAAAGGTATGTATATTATATATATATTAACGCAACTTTCATTTGAATGTGAAACGGCCCGCGCACGATTTAGCGATTTGCATAAATTTCGTGTGATATTTCTCTAGTGTGTATTTTTAATTTTACGTATAGCACGAACTTGATTCGCGCAATAGTCTTTTGCTACGTAAATCGTTGGATCGTGCGTGGGCCCTTTAAATTTAAGCGCAACACGATTCTCATCTCTATATAATAAACGCGGGCTCTATATAATAATACGAATGAGAGGGATATCGTTATCATAAATATCATATATATCGTTGACTGTCTTTTTCTAAAACTAATGTTATCAAACTCTCGCAAAATCCATGACTGGTGGTCAATAGTTGGTCGAGGGTCCACGTTAATCAGTTTGGCAACATTTCCAGACGTATAAAATTCGGAAGAATAAAGCTCGATAAAACGACATATAAAAACTCGCGTACATTGAGATTCGTTAATAAAAGTCGATTATCGTACGCAGGAAATCAACAGAAGTTACAAAATATTCTTAATGTATAGTTTGGATAGAGAGGAAAATTCATGTGACTACACAGATATTTTAAAGTGTATTTTATAATTTATATATATTATGTATATATAAGTATATTATGTATATAGAAATAATATATTAACAATATATTTTTTTATTTCAAATTACACTTTAAAATTTTTACGGAATTGGAAATAAAATAATATATTAATATATTTTTCAATTTTAAATTACACTTTAAAATTTATGCAGAAGTGAGAAGTTTCATACCACTACACAATTTCAATCTAGCTCCCATCAAATTTCCATCTCTTCGGTCCATTAAGAATTTCTTAGGAAAAAAATTCAAGGATAAAAAAACAGCGAAAAATCACAGTATTGCGGTATTTCATAAACCTTGGATAAGAAAACTATCACGAAGGAATGTTTAGACTTGTGAAACGCTGGGACACTTGTATCTTTTTGTTGTAATTTTTCCTGATTTTAAAAAGAGTACAAATTTTGATGTAATTTTGATCTGTACCTTAATTATCGAACGATTAAAAGAAGTTCGTGATTTAAAATGTCATTAATATACAGAACGTACAAATTACACCAATTTTGCATATATATTACATTTATACTTGAGAAAAATCTATAATAGTATAACACAGCCAATTGTTATGCTCTCGCTCTCTTTCTCTTTCTAATAATTTATCATAATATAGATCATAATTTTAATTTCGATTACATGTTGGTACCGCTATTAAAAGTGTTGATTACATTTTATAGCAATTTACATGTAATTTAATTGAAAAATAAATGTTATACTGTCTCTGAAATATTAATTATTTTATGAGAACGAGAGTAATGAAAATATAAAACGCCCACGTTTCGTTTCACATCGCTTATGATTTAACGGCAATTGTAATCGTATACTTAACAATAAAATATCCTATCGTGTATCGTAAAATAACATTAGAAAGAGGAGAAAGGTAATAATAGTAAAATCTCATTATGCAATAAATCAAGTCGTAAAAACTGATAGCGCCGTGTTCTCTCGACCGGATTATACTATAATTAAAATACAGCTAATACATTATACAATCTAAAGGAAAAGGAATATAATGGAAACACTAGACATGGATTTACATCTACATGAATATGAAAAATATACATCTTACTTCCCTGAAAAATAAAGAATAATTGAAGAATAAGAAACAAATTTGAGCTTGTATGGCTACGAATTAGCGCAATCTATCCTGAAAATCTTTATAGCCATTTGTGATAAATTTCATATGTACAATTGTGTAAAGCTTTACAAAATCGGTAACGATCATGTCACCGATCATTGTAAAGCGATATTTAAATCATATTTAGAGCTGCTCTTTCCGCTGTTATCATTATAAAACGCATTCCACAAAACTTCAACACATTAGTAAATATTATCTGTACAGAGTTGTGCACTCTACTGAAATATACATCTTACGCAAGACTCTGAAGATAATAAAACGTACTTCTATAGTTACAAATAGTTAACCTGCAAAACATTTAGATTTCAATTAATGATTTACTAATACGACATACCTCCCATCGCATCTTGCAAACGTAGAAATGACCAGCCATGGATTTATACATCAATGATAGAAAATCTAGGACATTGTTCAAAATCATGATCGGGACAAAGACAATTAAATATAAACTATTAATTATACACAATAATTATTTCGCAGCTCCGTTAAATATACGGATATCTATAGTTAAACAGCTCATATTATACAACTACTGTCATTGTGCCCAAATCTACTCTCGATCACGCGGCAATCTCATGGCAAAATATCGATGCAAGCAATTCATGAATATGAACAAAACTTACGACGCGTAGGTACAAAACGATATAAAATAAAATGATGTGCAAAGAGAAATATTCCATCTCTTAATGAACAAAGCTCAATTGATGTTTAAAAACTATATAAATTGTAACGGTACGGAGGGATACTTGTATTATAAGACTCTGTAAAAAAAATCTTATTTGCTTTGTTTCTATGACGGCTCGAGTGCTTCTACAGTACATACATATCCATAACTAAAATATCTAGCTTTTTCATTCCCTTTCTCCATATCGCATTCTTGCTTCATTCACTTAAATTGTAGGTTGTAATGTAAGATGTAGACGCATTCAAAACAGATCCACACTTTAGTATCCTCAATTGTGAGATAATACTGTCTGTCATAGCCAGTTCATGTACACGTCCCTCGTTCTTTCTGTACCTGATTTCGATAATCCTGATTCAAACTTATGCCTCTTCGATAAAATGATATATAGTGACACGAAACTACCTACACGAAGATATAGATTTTATATTAGAGCGTTATGAGTGTAAGCTTGGGTACAACGCAAATATTTCTTAACAAATAATAACCATCAGTATCTTTTTGAACGACGCGAGATGACATCATCGTTCGATAATGATATGTCCTCTCACGACGTAGTGCTAATTTCTCGATAATATTTACGCCTGCTAGGCCGTTTAAAATTGGTCCACCAGCAGGTCACAGATCTCTACCGACATCGATTCTTTACTCGAACGTACCGTTAAACGAAACATCTGTAAAGTAAGAACGTGCAATTAAATAAAAATGCAAATCACGCTTGTTGCTTCTTTCGAATCTTTCGAGAACATGATGAATTACCTGGGCTTGTTTATTAGGTTCAAGACGCAACAGGCAACCCACTTGCTGCGCTCTCATATGAACGATACCGGCGCAGACAAAGTTATCGGGATTCGGGTCAATGCCGTCGAGCAACTGCATCCCAAATCCTTGTAATTTCGTGCGTACTTGCGTTAGATCCATCGGTTGCTGCGCTTTGAAAATCTTTTGCGATCGTTGTTGATTTGCTCTGAAAAATAAATTCAACGTACGATAGATAAATTGATCTGGAACTATTCGAATCGATCTTACGTCTCTTCCTCTCATGTGCGTTACGTCTACGTCACATACCCGCCAAGATTTTTCCATCTTGCAAAGAATGATTCTCCATTCATCTCTGTTGGTTCGAAGAACTTATTAATTGTTAATGGTAACTTCATCGTAATCTTCTGTGGCACATTGTTGTAAATAAAGGAGATAATCATGCTCGGCGTATCTGTAAATAAGAGGTATCACATGCAATGGGAGATGTTCAGATGTTAATTGATAAAAATTTGCAAAAATGTCAAAATAACGTACCATTATAGTCGTCAATACATTCTGCATTGATCATTTGCTGGATCTGAGCGCCAGCTTCCAATGTAGGATCAACAGATTTTACTTGTACAGCTAATTTTGCTTGATTCTCATCTGACCAAGATAGTTGTGGTTGAAAACTGTGTAAAGCGTGTTGCGTCTTGTTTCCGTAAAAAAGACCTACACGTCCAAGATTTTGTCTAAACTCTGATTTTACACCGATTTGTATCAAGTCATTTTCGAACAAGACACCGTTATTTTTACAAACAAACCTGAAAGATACAATCGGAAAAATAATTACAAATATCAATATTTTAATTGTATAAAAATCTCTAATCGTATAATATATCTTACTTTTTCGGGTTGTATGTATTTTGGGTGCCATTGGTAGCACCAAGTTTATTTGGCATGTTATAAATATCTCCCAAAACATCAAGCAACACGCCTGTATTACTAGACGGTTGAGACGAAGGTGGAGTCGACAATCCTAGCAGATCAGCAGAAGAATTGTTAATTGTCACGGTTGTAGGAGCAGCGGGAGGTTCAGTGTGATGATTAGTGTTCGGCGCTGGACTCTTGCTCTCTCTAATTTCGTTCTCTGGTACTCGACCCGGTTTCTTCTTCTTTAAAACTGTAAGAATAGAGGATTCTCTTTCGGGGAACGCTGGCATTTCTTCCAACACGGTGGCCTACGAAAACAAATATGTCAGTAACGCGAGTCTCATATTTTTCAATTGTTATAAATTACATACCAAGACATCAGTTGAAGCGATAATGCTCAGTTGTAAGTATTCCGATGCTCTCTGTTGCAGCTCAGCATCCGCGCTACGTAGATTACTATGCTGCCTGAAGACATCTTGTATCTGACTTCGTATTTCAGGGAACAGATTGACAAACTTTATGTACGTTGAAAGCAGCAATGCTCGAGTCATAGGAGAGCATAAATGATACTACAAGAGATAGATTTGTAATGTATTTGTATAGATTTATGTATATCCTCAGTAGTGCGCCACTTCTCGCGAATGGAAAAGTACTTACTTTGGAATGTAGTAGTTGAAACTGGACAGCTGGAGAAGACCGCTGGTCACCAGCTATGAGATTACCGAACTCTCCAAGTATGTAACCACCGACTTTAACCATGTTTTCGTGGCAAGCAGGGGCTTGCAGTGCCTGTAATGCATATATGTAGAACGTTCAATAATTGATAGTAATAAATAATAGCAAAAGGGAAAAAATATGTTTTACCTCGAAGACGGTTTTCGCAGCGTAACCCTGAACATCATCTCGATTGATAACGATTTGTATAACTCGATACCAAACTTCCTCAGAGACGTAATCACCTGCTATCCTAATCAGGTTTAGGATAACATCGACATACCAGGTGTAGTCAGTCGCGTATTTTTCCGCTAGAATCGCTACTTTAAGGACCATCTCTTCTCTAATCGAGTAATCAGCTGTTTCCAGATAGTTTAGCATTTCCTGAACAATCTCCTCGGCATTACTTTTATCACACATGGCATATAACAGGTCTACCGCTTGCTGTCTGACGGAAACATCCTTTTCCATCTTCATTGATAATATTACTACTTCTTGGTGTTTCTTTACGGCTTCGTGCGAGAATTCCGAGGTAGCCAAGTGGCACATGGATTCAAGTGCCAAGTATCGCAAATTGGTCTCACGGTTCGATAAAAATTGGCCAAGCTGGTTGCATGCCCGTACAAGGAGATTCGGCTCGCTATCGTTGTGGATAATTAAACTAATGGCTTCAAAGAGTACAGCATTCTTCGCGTTTGAGTGCTGGACCTTCTTTGACTTTGGTGGTTCTTGAGCTTTGTTTAATATTGTTTCTAGACACTCGTTTAATCTGCCTCTCACACCTGGATCTTCGGCTGCAAAAATATGTACGTATAAATATATTATACATATTGTAAGATATATCGTACATTGTATTCTACATATAGATTAAGTACCTGGTGGAGTATAGTTCTGCAGCAAACGTAGCAACTTGACAGATAACCACGGGGCTGGCACAAAGTAATATGTATAATCCTGCAGGTCTGTATAACTCGATGTAACAATCTACAATCACGGAAGAAATGTCAGATAACAAGTTTACTGTAACACAATCAACCATTCGTGCTTAACGTACCCTACTTAATCTCGAAACTGCAAGACTAACGCAGCCCTTGTATTCGTCGGGATTTCTTTTCACGAGAGCGTCTATGAGCGACGCCGCGGCTGTTACAACGCCCAGATGTTGGTCGTTCAACAGATGAACTATACGCGACGTCCATTCACCACCAGGTACGACATCGGGAGCTGTCCGTAACAGCCGTAGCAGACACAGCGCAGCACTTTGCTTCACGACGTCCATGGTATCTCTATAAATCGGATATTTGAAGACTGAACGAGAGTCTGACATAAGCTACCAGCATGACTATACACAGCAGCAAATACATTATGTCGTACCCTGAGACGAGCAATTTTGGAATTTCATTGCCGAAGGCTTCCGCCATATCCTTGCTACCGATATTGGCGATGCATTGCAGCGCCAGATTAACGTGAATTGGATTGCGCGAGGCGAGATCATTTTTTATACTTTGTATGATTAACTTGATCAGATCGCTATTGGTGTTCACTAGGACCGATATGAAGAGATATCCCTAGAATTGAAACGAGACAGATGACATATAGTAATCATTATTCCGTTACATTGTTACGAACGGTTGTACTTACAATTTGTTTTTCCGAATACTTATTTGATGAAAGTAGATTGACAGCTTCCATATGTCCAAAATCGATATCGTGGCCGAGAAGAAAGATGAACAGCAACTTGCAAACGTATTTCTTTTTCTGATATCCATCGAGCGTTTTGTCTCCTTTAAACTTGCTGCGAATGTTTGCTAGTTCCTTGTTAATTCTCTTAATCTCTGCCTCTTTACTTTTGCCTAGTAACATTAATATAAGAACAAAACAGTAACTTCCGTCGCCAGTAAAGTTTTTTATTAATATAAGATTTTAAAAAGGGAAAGACCATGCGTATGCGTATCTATCCCTTACAATTACAAAACAATCATGAAATTATAATCATCGATATAAACGTATTACATCTTATTGTCGTATAAATAAAAAGATAATAAATATTAAGATAATAAAAATTTCCCATTGCAATACACTCATATTTTACATTTATATTTTTGCTGTAAATATCAGTGGATTTTATCGTGAAATAATGCGTCAGCAGAAGCATTTAATATGAAAAGTAACGGCAATTATCAACTGGCTTAATCCTGTTATCTGAGAGGCGCAAAAACAATTATAAATAAATATGCAAAAATATGCGTAAAACCGTACAATTGCGGCCACCGTAAATATCTCAAAGAGAAGGAGACCTACGTTCGTTTTTAATAAATTTTTAGCTAACGATGCTAATGTGTCGCAGATTGATATTGAGAGTCAAGCTGTATCAAGAAGATAGGCCTGTATCAGAACACCGCCCCCTTTCTCCTGCTCCTCACAGTGTCAAACACGTCGCACACTGTTTCAGTTTCAATGGCACATTATCGCCCGATGAATGAAATGCCGTTAACAACGTTATTAGCTACAAGAACGGCGCGTTTTCAGGAAGAACAGCCTTCCGACAGTTCCGACTGGTTCGGGAACAGCGAAACAGTTTACAACGCCGATAATCACACATTACAGAATGCGACAATTAATAAATTACAGAACCTATAGATATCGTCGAAGGAAAATTGTACTACCAAGACGTTACTCACAATTCCTGATGTCAGATATGAATACCGCCAATCCACGCATACCATCTCCTCTGACGGCCGGCATCTTGCCTCGTCTTGCTCGAGACTACCTGCGAAACGAGTACGAGAGCTGTGAGGACACTCGGACGTTCATTCCCCTCCAATCTGAGACGGCTTAGAGATTGCGCTTCCGACGCAGATATACTGTAATTGGTATTTGTTTCGCTCGCTAAAAACGGCGTGACGCAACGGCGGGACGCACGGGCCGCGCTCGCCGTCGCTATCGTCACGCATTGCCCGTCTGTACGTGCCGTTCTCTTTGCGATCTATCTTTTACAAAAACCTTTTCTTCTTCTCTCTCTCTCTCCTCTGCTCCGGTCGGCGCTATCGGAAAACGGAGTCGCGGTCGTACGTGGCGCCGACCGGAGCGGAGCCGCGAGGTATAAAGTATGTACAGCCGTCGGCCGTCGGCCGTCGGAGGAAACGCGGATCGAACTCGTGGGCAATTGCCAATTGCGATCGCGATCGTCGTCGAGCGATCGGAGTATCGGAGCCGGCGCCGAATTCCGACGGCGACGCTTGACAGCGGCACTCCGATTACTCCGAGATCCCGTCCCGGCTGGCAGAGGGGGGAGTGGAGGGGAAAGGGCAACACACGTACACGACCGTCGGATTCCGGCCGACGGGGAGGCCGACGATCGCGTCGACGTATCGATCGAGGAAGTGGGGAACGGAGCAGGGAACCGTCTCGAAGGAGGAGACGGTACGAGACGGTACGAGACGGGGGGGGCACCTCTCGGTGCCCTTCTCGTCGCGAGTGGTCGCGAGCTGTCGCGCGCCGGAGCCGGGGATCCTCCAAGGGCGCCGAGAGTCCGCGCGGAATTCGCGGCGGGGCCCCCGCGGCCCCGGTCGGTGCCGCTGGGGGTTCGCGCTCGGGGGGCTACGTACTACGTACCGTATCTGGGGCGCTGGGGCTGGCGTTACGCGCACGGCTCGCTCGCGGGGCGCACGGTAGGCGTGGAACTAGTCGCGAGCCCGTGCCAGAGACTTCGTGGCTGTCGCCATTTGCAACCGACTGGCCCGTCGTCGTGTCCGACGAGCGAGACACGGCCGCCCGTCGAAATGCCAGCGCGCACGCGCGATCCACGCTGGCGCGTGGAATTTCGTATTTCGAACGCCGCGGCGCGGCGCGGTGCGGCGCGACGGCGACCGTCCGCGATTGATCGAGCCTCGAGCCGCGAAAGGGCACGCCGGCTCGAGCCCACGGCTTCTCTCCGGCTCGGCTCTCGGCTCCACTCGTCCGTGGCACCGCGCCGCGATTGAATGCCAAAAGGTTGCCGTTGATCGAGCGAAAGGGTCGCCGCGTTGATAGAAATCGATTCGCCTTCAATTCGCAAAACGGAATCTTTCTCCGATCGTCCGCGATTGCGCTTATTATCACGGTGGAAACATTCCAGATGCAAAAAAACTTTTTCAAATATATTCGATACAAGCACTGCGACTGCAATTTACTTTGTAAAATTATTGTCATTTTGAGGCCCAAAAAATGAAACAACTCCTTTATCAATTCCATTTACTTCAATTTTCATTACTCTATTTTATTAGAATTTGAGAATGTGCGACTATGAGATTGTCTTCCACACATTCCAATTTGCAAATGGTACAGTTACATAAAATATATAATAATGACAAATTTGGAGGCACAAACTTAATGAGGTTTGAAGAAAATGTTGCCATTAGTGAAATAATTTCTACATATCGCGTTATGTAACATAAAATATATATATATACAAAAGCGAAAATATTCCGCTGTTCCTTTAAACGGTGCTTTTAAATCAGTCCAGAGACAAAGAAGCGACCACTGATTACGTCGTACTTCGCTGTATCTTCTCCAACAACATCTCTATCCTGCCTTTCATGACAGGTTGTCCCTTCCTGGTCTTTTTTGATAACACCTTAAAGTGACGCATCTTCTTCTGCCTATAGTTCTTCAGAGCTTCCTCTCGTTCCGCTTTTACGCGAACGGCTTCCTCTTTCCTCCTCTTCTCCTCTTCCTTCTTCCGTCGGTATTCTTGCTTAGCCTTGAAAAAAGCGTAGCTCTTCTTCCCCACGTTGCTGTTCACACACACACACACACATTCAATCAATATCAAATCTGAAATTATGGATTCTGAATCGATTCTGCTTTACGCACCTCGTCTCATCTTTGTTCTTGGACGTATGATTTAAATCTGACGACGTTTCCGCGGAACTCTGCTGATCCTTCCTGAGCTCCTTGTAGAATCCGCGCAACACAGCCTTCTTCCTTCTCTCCTCCCATTGATTAACTTAAATAAAGGCAGACAGGTGTTGTGAATAAGCTTGTTAAACTTAACCTATACGACGCATTACTCCGTAGACATACTTTTATACTTATTGCTGTACTTCTGTAATCGGTATTTCTTCTTGTCGAACTTCTTTTCCCGTGGCTTATCTCCATCGCCGCTCTTATCCGTTCCACCTTTGGCTTTGACATTCCTCGCGTTGTTCTTCATGGTCGAGGTAGCGCAAGTAATCTCGTAACCACGTGTTTACGCCTTGGCGACGTTCGGTGTTCGCGATTTAAATCGAAAAATTCTCGCCGTGCGCTAACGCCCCTCACGGCAAACGTTATAACTAGAATGAGGAGCAAGCAGAACACATGGTAAAGATGTTTACAAAAAAGAAAGTGAAACATCGAGTTCTTTTTCAATGCGTTTTTAATGTCAGGTTTTGGATATAATTTTAAAAAGAACATGATTGAAACATTAAAATATGCATTTTAAACACGTTTTAATGCAACACACACGTGCGCGCGCGCGCACGGAATAACGAAATTATGCTATTACAATATCTACATATACGTGTGTGTATAAAAAAAATTGCATGATTTTTATCGGAGTTAATTTCTGTTTATTAATATACGCGTATTTATCCGGTTTCCAACCATAGAAAGAAGTAACGTAAAATTACACGTTTACGGAAATGAATGACGACAGCGATTTCTTGGGAACTCGTGGGAGACGAATACACTCACACTTATATGAGGATGTCAATTATACAATTCTTTATTCGCGATTAACCTGTCACCGCGTTACGTGTGAGTTTATTCACGGCGGTGACATTGGATAATCGACCGTGTTAATTTTATAGACTCGATGATCGATCGACAATTAGATCGGAAGCTGAACAGCATACGCGGCGATCGCTATGCGCGTACGTCGTCCAACAACTCATCTCTCTTGACGACGCATTGTCTTACACAATTCCGTGTTGCATTCGCAGCCTTGCGAAGGCCTTGCATTGACACATCCACCGCCAAGCGTACTTTTCAGCTGATTTTCCATTCACGACGGATTAATAATGATTTTATATTGAGAAGAATAATAAAATACTTAATTTATAGTGTTAAATTTATAATATTGAGTTGCACAAAGTGATATATAATAGATACATGTAAAATGATACATAACATGATATTTATTTGACAGTCGCCCAATGATTGACAAAATCCACGGAGATTAGAGATTCTCTACATTAATTTGAAAATTCTCATTGAAATTGAGTGCCTGATGTTCTAACAAAAATTCTCGAAATTTCAATATTTCAATAAAGAGATCTAATAGCTCTCTCTTGCGTTCTCGGCTCGCGATATCCGCGTACGTACGTCGTTTAGATCTTCTCATCGCGCGTTCGACGACGCTGAAACACCGCGTTCGGCGAGAGATTGGACAATTATTCATAGCCCGGTACGTAGACGAGAGGAAAACAAGCAAACTGACGTCGAAAAGATAGTAGCTCTTCGGTATGCGCTACCGGGGGCTATTATTAGCTGACAGAATCCGAGACGGGCATAGAATCCGAAGCCAGATTCGTTCGAGGGCATTCGTCTGTCCAATTCGATTTCTTCGACCGCCAGCCGTCCCCTCGCGATCGATTCAATGTCGAGGATACGACGACGAGTTAATCACTCACGTGTCGATTTTTTTACTCCCCTCCCCCCTCCGCGCGAAAATGTGAACCAAAATAGGATACACGTATCCGTGAAACATATGTCAGAAAAAAATAACAATATATTTAAATCTGTAGATTTAATATAGGATTTTTTTATTGACGTACTGGAGTGTAATAATGTAACAAAAATGTAACAAATACGTTCTGTGTATCAGAATCTTGCGCAATTGTGGAAGAGATCGATCGAGAAGTCATTATTACTTAAAGTGACCTTATCTTCGATCCATATTAGGAACCGCTGTGACGCCTCTTATCGATCGGCGAAACCCTCACGGAGATGACGTCACGTCGAGTCAGGTTCTCCCACATTGGTGGCGGCTTGTCCGGCGTCTCGTCGACGTTTCAGAAACGGGAAAGGAAGTCCGTCGCCCCATAAAGAATCTCGTCTGGAAATACGAGACCGACGACATTGACATACTTCAGCATCAACCTCGATGATCTCGTTAATCGTGATCAGCATCCTTTATTCCCCCTTTGCTGCTGCATACGCGATCTTTAAAGAAATGCTTCTCCATCAGGCCTTTGTATGGGCTTGTGACGAAAATCATCTCGAAAGAAACGTTATTTAAAGCTTTAGCAACGTTACCCCGAATTGATATAAGGCTGATGAAATTTATACCTTGAATAAGAGACATTTTATTACTTCGCCAGAAATTAATAGACAATTAAGAATTCTAATCCACTTGACTAGCTATCATCGTCGTGACAATATGACCATTAATTTTAGTCAGATTATTGTCAAGACATTTCAGACTATAGATTTTGGTCGTATTGTCATGAGGATGATAGCCAGTCTAGTCGATTAGAATGCTTAATTACTGATAAAATTTAATTTAAAAATTTTTGTTCGTAAACCGGATTTTTTTCGGAGAGAGCCACACTTTGTAACATTTCATTGTACGTGATATAGATAATCTTTTTAGCTCACATTACAATGGGAGATGAATAAAATTATTTGATGAAATACATTTTCACATGTATATGAAGATTTAATCTTGAAAAGAGCTGCAAATCGCCATTAAGCCAGAAATGTATTTGTAAACTTTCGAACTTATTACGTCCAGCTTATCTTATAAAATCTTACTAGTTGTAAATCTTATTATTAAATATCGATCCTATTATAAAAATAGGCTGTTCTGCAGAGGCCCTCCACCACCCCCGCCGATTCCGATCGGCGGTCCTCTTTTTTGTACCTATGTGTTTTTGTGTTACTTTTTTATTTATATTTCATATTTTTTTTTATTTTATTATTATCCATACTCCATACATATATTCGCATACAAAAATACAATTTCTTTAATCTTAATTTTGCAATTTTTAATGCTAATCCTTTATACAATTTATTATACAATAAAAAATACAATAAAAATTAAATATATGTTATTTACAATATACACAATAATATACAGTACATAATATAATATAACATAATACATAATATGATACACAATATAATAATATAATACAAAATTATAAAATGCTGTTCAAAATACATAGTAAAAAACTGTTATTAATAACAATAAAAAATGGTAGAAAAAAAAAATTACACGCGGAAAACGACCAAAATACGTATAATAACACGAATTTTACTAGATATACAGCTGTTACTATATGTATCATACTGATAAATGATGATAATTAAGCTGTATTTATTTTTAATCGTCAATTTGCGACAAAATTTAATAAGTTTAATCTAAGCAACGAGCAATCGCGGCCAACAAAGTCGTTAATAAATTTAATTATCTATTATATTTCAATTGTTCACGTATAAAGGAGTTCAAAATTTTCTATGTACGAAAAAATAAGCAAAGTTTTAAGGTATGCCAGCGATAAAAAATAAACTTTAAAAAATAGCAAGAAATGACCGCGTTTTTCTCATGTTCAGGGATGGATAACTGATCTAACGATTTGACAGGCATCGAAAGCCCTCCGTCGAGTAGTACGCTGGTTAGTATCCAACACAAAGAAGAACAATCTTTGTGATGAAGAGCGAACTTAGCGCGCTCTGATTCTCCATCGAGTTCCGTAAGATCCATACACGAAGAAAAGTTAAGTGATCCATCAAACGCCAGCGGTTCCGCTACAGGAGGGAACGAATCCCGAATCTTCCAGACCGCTCACAGTAGTAATGATTTTTACAGCATGTCAATGACCATTTTTAACACAAATTCGCAACAAAATTAAAATTTGCACGCGAAGAAAATATGTTCTTCCATTATTAAAAATCATCTCCTTTTATTAAAAAAAAAAGCATAGATAGAATGAATCTTATGAAATTGTAGGGTTACGAAGAAATATATTTAATAATAATAAAATACATGTGTTTTGTAACGTTATGCACGGATACAAATGTTTCTCGGGTACCAACTGTTCGAGATAAGTCGAGCCCGATAACAGCAGGATTTTAAAGAATTTCATACTAAAAAATCTATCAATATAAAATTTAATAATTTTTTATTTTTCGGTAACATTTCAAAAATTTTAATCGTTAATATCCCACTGACATGGGGGTACCCATTCGACTTATCTCGAATTTTTTGTAACCGTACATTTCTAAGAGTACAAATCTTGTTCATAAAATTATTTAAGTCGATAAAAATAAATATCTGTTAATTATGATCGCGTTGTATATAAGCATGTACTTTACTATAGAAAAATAAAATTATTATATTACTAATATTAACATCATAGATTGGCGGAATCAGCGAGATGTCCAGTACCTATAAAAATAGTTTCTTGAAACAGATTAAAAGTTAGATAATTAAATATATACATTCGTAACCATATTTTTGTTAAAGTATAATCACTAAAAAACAGACAAAAATTATTTGTACAAAACTTGAATTTATTTACTTGATAATTAAAATTTATACAAATAATCATTATATCCATGTTTGTTCTAATATCAAGTCTTATTGTCATTAAGACAGCATTAATATTAATATATATAATGCACTATATATAATGGAAGAACATTTAGCAAAAGAAAAAAGGACAAAATCTTTTCTCAAAACATACTATTGAATTAATTCCACGACCCAATTTTAAAACATAGTGGTCGTCGTTGACTAATTGCCAAAATCATTACTCCCGAGAACTACCTAGAAAATCCGGGATTAATTCCGACCCTGCAACAAGAACCTCCAATTTTCAACAGGGCACCGAACTAGACTTCGTGAATGGATTTCACAGAAATCGACGAGGAATAACTCTCCACGACGAAGATCATTTCAACGTCCCACCGGTACGAACCACACATTCGCTGGCGCCCACCTGACGCGAGGGACAGCGATGAAGCCCCATCGCTGAGACAGCGATCGCACCCAAGAACGAAAGAAAAACGCGGCGTTCGCAATTGCTTAATAAATATTTAAATATTCTTTAACGAATATTTCTGTATGTAATTTAAAAATATTCGTTAAGAAATATTTAAGAATTTCAAAACTAAATATATTTATCAAAGGTTAATTTAATGAACTTCTTGTTATCATACGCGTTTCGTCAATTTCATACAATTTACATCATTAACGCGATAATTTGGTTTACTAAGACCAGATAAATGTTAGTA